AATTGTTTTATTTGCAAATAATTGAAAAAAATATCAATTTAAATTTGATATATCGATATTATTCAATTTTAATAATAAAAAATAATACTTAGTGGAGTTTTTTTGGCTAACTAATTTTTATGCAAGACAATGTAATACAATATTTAAGACATTTTCTGGTATGCACCTGCTTCACATTTAGCCCTTGCGAAAGAGAAGCCAAATATATGCAGACAGCCTGCAATAGTATAATCTGGAGACTATGTGTGTATGTGCACCTTGCACAAAAAAAAAAAAAAAAAAGACAACTATATCTTCCATTCTACTGAACCGATTATCAAAATTTGACTTGTGTTTTCATGTTTGTACAGCTTAGGATATATATACAACACTGTTCTAACACAAGTATTTGGACACAAAATCAGACTTCTTCTGAATAACATACCAATTTTTTTTCCATGTTTCGATTCTATGACTAAAAACATGCCAAAGTGTCAAGTTTTGTAAAAATCACGAGTAGTTTTTAAAAAATTAGCTCCTCTATCTTAATACAATTTGGTATATATTTATAATTACCTCTTTTTTTTTTATTAAACTTATTTGGTTCTTCCTTTCACATTTCGAAATTTAGGTTTATTCCAAGTAAAATTCGCCCATTTTTTATGATTTATTTTTTAAATTTGTATTTTTAAATAATTTTTATGAATTTTTCAAAAAAAATCTTGTATTATAACTTATAAAAGTTTTACCATCAACTTAAAGCAGATGCATTTCTAAGCATACCTGCAAAAGAAGATAGATTTTATTCTTCAAAATTTCCTAAGATATACGTGAATTTACATAATGGCATTTTTTGAAATTTGGCATATTTGTTAAAGTGATAATAGCGCCAAATATGGTTTACGCACTTTGATAAAAATTACTTGAAAGTAAGTGACATATTGTCTGCTCGTGAAACAATGAAAAATAGGTTGCTATAAATTAAGAACTTCTCCAAGTGAATTATTCTTGGCTCAAATGGAAAAAAAAAAAAAAAATGTGTCAAGATACATTTTTAAATTTCTCCATAAATTTCTCACCAAAAATTATAAAATTTATAACATTTAGGTTTAATTTGAGTCATAGAATCGAAATATGGAAAAAAAATTGGTATGTTATTTCAGAAAAAGTCCAATTTCGTGTCAAACTACTTATGTTAGAACAATGCTATATAAAAATCAAATAAGTTGTGCTTTCAATACATGGAAAACGTACTTTGAATTTTGTCAATAGGCCCAATAGAACAAGAGATACAGAACTGTCACCCCCTTTTTTTGGCATATTGTGGGCATATTTTATAGAATACATGTAATAATAACCAATCCATGGATACACACACCAGCTAAGGGTTCGACTTCACTTGGATTTATATCCTTTATATTTAACTGTTACTTCAATGAACAATAGCCACCAAATGTAAATATCAGCCTTACTCGTAAAACTTTTTGTTTATTTTAAAATGTTTCCTATTATCATTTATGAATAGAATTATGAGCCATAAACATAGCTGAGCAAAATGTTTTGCCAATGAGAAAAGTTGCTAATGAATTGCCAACTTTTCAGTGGGGATATGATAATCAGAAAGGACCAAACAAAGTTCTTTATACTATTGCAAAGAACAAACATCTTTCATTACTTAGATCAAATCAGCTGGTAACTATATTCAGAATGAAAATCTGAAACCCAAAAGAAAATGCTTCATTTCCTATCTGTTTAAAAGAGTATTCTATGCATTATACAAATGTCCAAACTTTGTGCATCATAGAAACATACTTTACAGAATACAGTGTAAGAGCATCACAATGCATTTTACTACATTAAGACTGGGTTATTTTCTTGTCTAAAAGTATACATGGAATTGTGCTATCCCATTTAGTTCTTTTAAATATATTTCTGGTGTATGCTTAAAATTCAGAAAACTTATAGAAGTTTTGCAGATTGTATTTTCAACAAAAAAAATAAAAACATAATTCATTTGTGTGAAATTTGGTCAAATTATATCATACTGTTTAGAGTACAGTATAGTAAAAGCATCTATTAGGGAGAGGGAAAAAATATCAGTTAATCTTTATTTCATGCAGTTGTTCTTTAGTTGTGTCTGCAATGAAAAATTTATGTTCACATGCTTGTTTAAGATAGAGTTCTTAGGTTTCAAAAATATTTTTGAAGAAATAAAAATAAGGATAAAATCAGAGGCCCAAAATCAAGATGCTAGGAAAACAGGTATTTAAGAAATCACCAAACGTTTATTCTGTAACATTGTAGATTTATTGGTATCATATGGATTCGTATTTGTGATTGCTTTTTACTGTAGCAAAATTTTATTAATTAAATCTGTTAGGTGCAAAAATTTCTTTTGGTACTATGTATGGCCCAATTTAAAATTTTGCTCACATATGCTGCCCCTGAAAAAAATTCAAGATAAATTATGTTTAAAGTTTAATTTGAGCAATATATTTCATAAAGACGACAACGACTATAAATATATTTCTACAATTCAAAATATTAAAAAAAAAAAAAAAAAAAAAAAAAAAAAAAAAAAATGAAATTTTTTAGATATAAATCTTAAAATGTGTGATCGTACGCAAAAATGCCTGTCCCTTTCAAGCTTCCTATTGTTCAACCTTTTTCTTTTGTAACCTAATTTATTTTTTTACATAAAGAAGTTTAATTATTTTAAATATGAACTATTAGTGTGTTATATTCATGATAAAAATTAATTACAGAAGTTTTTTTCTTTAACAAATCAACAGAAAAATAATTTGTCTTCCTCCTTCATGTCGAGTCCGTTACCTTGAGATTACTTTACCTAAAATTAATTTGTAAATCTGTCTAAAACGGGCAGTATATATTCAGTGACCCAGATAAAGAAGTTAAGCTAAGTTTGAATATTTTGAATATGTACTGCCCCCTCCTTTAGGCAGATTTACAAACTAATTGGGGGTAAAATAATCTCAAAGTAATGGACTTGACATGAAGACAAATTATTTTTAATGATTTGCTAAATTTTTATCTAAAATTTCAATTATTTTTTTTGTTTTAAATTATAGAAATATAGTCATTTTATGCCATGTATTGCTCAAATTAAATTTTAAATATTAATTTATCTTTAATTTTCTTTCTTTTCTTCTGGGACAGCATATGTAAGCAAAATTTGAAAATGGGCCCTATGCTAAGTTAAAAACATTTCTGATATTAAATGTATATAAACATTAAAGAAAATAACCACTTATGAGTTTTCTTTTTCTTTTTATAGGCTATTTGGGTGCTTACTGTAAAAGCCTTCCCGTAATTTTTATCAACTCGTCAAGAAAAACTGCTCCAGCTGTTAATCCAACTCCAATGACAACATTAGATATTGTGGGAACTACTATGTTTGTACTTGGCTTCTTATGTGAATCTATTTCAGATATACAAAAATTTCAGTTCAAGGAAAATCCCTCTACAAAAGGTCGACAGTGTGATGCAGGTATTTGAAAATACATTGCTTTACATATTAATTACTGCATAAGAGAACTTACTGCAATTAAATTGTTTTGTTTAATTTTCGTTATTAAAAAAATACAGACATATTTAGGTCATGTTTAATTTTGAAAAATATGCATATATGTGAGGATTGGACAAAATAATTCAAACACCAGCAGAAATGTGCATTTTAAATAAAGAGTAGGAATCTTTTATTTTACACATTATGCAGCTAAAGTAAATAAAGAAGTAGACAAATGTAAATCAAGGACAGTATTGATATAAATTCTGTAGCACATTTTAACCAGTTCTGATTTATTATGGTAAGCAGCAGGAATCTTGAGACGTAATTTTGTTTTAAAGAATGTTCCCTGCAGATAGAGGTAACTGCTGAGTTTATTGTAGCTTCTTAAACCATACACAGACTTTTTGTCTTCCCCTTTTTTACATCATTGTACGAAGTAAAGGAAGTATTGTAATCCCAAAAAATTGCAGGTATCCTATTTCAACAAAAATATCTATTTTGACCTCTATCAAATGCAATTTAGAGATGTTTTTACACGACACCTGTGCATATGGACAGACAGGAAAAGGACTCTTTTTCTCCAAATAAAATTATAAAACTGACTTAAAATGGATTAGAAGAGATTTTTTTCATGGTGTCTGAATATACATACCTGCGTATGTATATATCTCGCATAACTCAAAAACGAGTAGCCTGAGAACCTTCAAATGTTGTATATAGATCTGCTATAACTTGTAGTTGTGTACCTACTTTTTTCGTTGCAATCGGTCGCACCAAAAGTATATATATATGTATGCTTGCTCTGTTACTCAGCTCCTTGAGCTCAGTTTACATTATTCTTACATGTTGGTAAATTCTACATTTTTTGCTTTAAAAATGATTGAATTATGGTCTTCTTATCTTCTGGTTAAGGTTTTTATGCCTTTGGTTAACCTACATGCAATATTTGTAGAATTATCAACAATTTAAAAGTTGTTTAAGTGTGGCTATGCTTAATTTTTTTTTTTTTTTTTTTTACTATAGAAAATTACTTAAATTGGTTGCCACATAATAAGAAGTTCACCAAGTGAATTAATTATTCTTAGCGCAAATTAAAACAATTGGACCAAAATACATTTTTTAATTTGTACGTAAATTTCGCATCAAATTTTACAAAATGTAATATTTTGTTATAATTTGAATTGTATAATCAAAATATGGAAAAAAAGATTGGTATGTTTTTTCCGAAAAAGTACGATTTTATGTCAAAATACCTATGTTTGAACAATGTTATATATAAATCTAATATAAACCCTAAGTCACACTTTCGAGACATGTAAAACGAAAGCTAAATTTCAACAATCTGTCCAGTAAAATGGGAGGTATAGAACCGCCCATTTTTTTAATGCAGGGTGTACACAAGAATAAATAAATACACAGACACATATTAATAAATAAGTACCAGATTTAAAAATAGAAAAAAATACAAAAATAATGATGTCGTAAAACTGACCTATAATCTTTCCGTCATTAGTTGTGTCATACAAAGGCTTAACTGTTTTACCACAAATATCAACACTTTCACAATTCAGTGGATCTGAATTTTCAATATTTGCAGGAAAAGCATTCTTAATTTCATCTGTGACTAGATTACATCCATCAGATGTAGACGGAGTCTGCAAAACAGAAGCTAGAAAAAGGAAAATAAATTAGAAGTTTTTATTCCTATGTCATAAAAATAAGATATACATAATAATAATATAAAAAGAAACAGGAAAAAAATCTGAAAGTTTTCAGATTTTATATTATACCCAAAGGATTGTTTTATTAACATTTTGTGTGTTAACTTTATTTATTAAATATCATGTTCTTTGTACTTAAAACATAAAATTCAGTTCAACAGCAGTATCACAAAATAATTTAAACAGACCATATCTTTAGAATTTCCGATACACAGACTCGCAGGATAGAGATAAAAAAGTTCCCCACAGTGTTGCTATTGCTTGCTTGAAAACTGTTGAGTTTGTTAATCAAAAATTTGTTAAAGTTTTACAACGGGTTTAACAGAGGTTAACAATTTATTAAAGCTTTACAGCAAAGTTTTACAAAATATGAAATAGATAATAAAACAAATTCCAAATTCAGAGTTCCAAAATGCCCATATTCAGGTGGAGGATTACGTCATTCAAAATTGGATGGCTCTAGGTACTGTTGTTTTATCACAATACAAGAACCATACGTGCATTTCTGCAGATTCTTCATTATTTAATTTTTTTAAATATAATACAGGGCAATAATAATTGGTGGCAACAATTTGAAAAGCGATACAGCCTTTTAAAGTTTTCAATGCAAAATGTCAAAATGAAATTAATAGCCCTTCAGGGCTAAAAATAAGAGATTTTATAGCAAAAAGAGCTTAGATAATATATTGATATATTTATATTTCACTATTAGATTGGATTTTCAACATTTCATTCTGATATTAAATTTTATCTTTAAACTAAGAAGGAAAATGTTTGTATTGTATACCAGCTAACTTCTAATGAATTTATATCAACATATAATGTATCTACCTGCAAAGACAATTACATATTGTATTACTGCAGTTATTGCAATAAGTTGTATGTTATTTTTTTAAAGCATGCCTAAATAATCTTATTTGCAATAGATATTTACATACTTTTGATTACATGAACTTTCTAAAACGTTGTAAATATATTTTTAAACTTGAAAATAACTTATCTGAGCAATATAAATAAAGGATAAAAATAGAATGAGGAATGATGTTAGAAATATACTTGAAACAATGTACTTGGGAAATTGCTTTTACTTACCAACTTTTAACTACTATTTCTTCCCAGAAACATAAATTTAAATTTTTACAAAGTTTTGAATTTTCTTCAAGGAAAATTTTTATTTTGAAGACTTAACAGTCTCTTATTTAAATTTTTTACAACTGGACTGTTTAAACATCATATTTAAAACTGAATTTGAAATAGAAATCTATATCAGAATTTTATGATTAAATAAAAGTTTAACTTAAATTCTAAATTTATCTATTGTGAAGAAATAGCATAAAAAATAAAAATTCAGTAATCTTTTACAGTTATAAAGATTCTAGAAACAATTATTTAAAAAAATCATGACTATACTATAAGTTTCAAAAACAAAAAAAAAGTTTTAAATTTAATATTATATCATATTAAAATTACCTTTTAAATTCAATACACATCTCAGTCAATGCATAGTCTCAGTGTGCATAAAAGCTTCAATTACGTATTAACTTATTAAATGATAATACAAAATTAACAGTAATATCACCAAAATTTAAATTTTTAGAGAATTTTATGAAAAAAAATTGAAATCAAACATGTTCAGAAGCCAAATATATAGTATTTTCAAGATGCTTGGGTTTAATTATAAATTTTTAATACAGATATAAAAATAAAAAAATGAATATTATACACTATAAAGATAATTTTTCTTATTTAATCTCAAAATGTAACACATGCATGTAATGGCCATAAAGGATTGTAAAACATCAGATAGTGATTGATATATTAAAAAAAAGTTACTCTAAGAAAAAATAAAAATGAATTTCCACCCCCCAAAAAGTTAAGAATTTATAAAAAAATATTAAATCTATTTTGATTATGAACATCATGAAAAATAAGCATATTTATTCTTCAAGTTCCTTTAGAGATTCATGATAAAGTTATAGAATCAGTATAAAGTAAAAGTTGGACATCCAAAGGCTTTGGGGGAAAAAAAAAAAAAAAAAAAAAAAACTTACTATTTAAAACATTTTTAAATTTGATAAAAGTATTGATTAGGGAATAAAAAAGAAAAAATGACCTTAACATTTTACCAAAAGGCACATAATATTAATTCAATATATAGATAAAGATCATACTTCAATATTTTAAATGTAAGCATAGAAATTCATTGTGCAAAATTTGTTAAACTTTAGGTAGAAAGTCAAAGACTTCCAAGTTCAATTAAATATAGATTATGCAATTGTCATGCTTATTGTACTTGGAAATGTGTAAACAACAAAGGTTACAAAAAGCTCAAAGAAAAGAAATGGCCAAACACCACGAAGGAAAATTTTTCACTTTCTGATTATCCATACCTATGCAAAAAAGTATTCATGAAAGCAGTATGTCACCCACACAGTTATATGGGAACACACAATCTCACAAAAAAGTTTTTATCTGGCAACCCCAAGTATGTGCAAAACGTATGTTTGGTTTGACACATGCACGGTAATGGAAAACACGTGGAGACGAGTTTGTGCATGATGTTTTTTCAAGCGAAAACAGATTGCTGCATACATGAAGAGAACAACAATACCCCCCCTCGAAAACACACACACACACACAAAACAAAAAAAAGCAAAAACAAAAAAAACTTGGAAAAAGGTAAGTGTTTTATTAACAATGTTTCTTGCATTTTAAATTTTATTGACTGATTGCTCTTGTATAGAATTCTTACTGTGCCACTATTTCAAAAATGGCTGTCATCCTGTAGAGATATTAGATTATTTTGAAGCCGGAAAGATGAAAAATGAGCAATGCCTTCGCAGAGTCTCGAACCTGGACCTCTTGAATACGTGCCAAGTATGCTAACCGTTACACCAAAAAGGACTGCTGAAAGGAGGGAGAAAATACCTCGCATATTCCCTCTTTTAAAGGGTGACTAGGGATTAGGGGGCCCAATTGCCAAATCCTGGTTGTGAAGAATCATCATCCACCATCATTTAGCTCTGGTGTCACTGTATAGACGTTATGCTATTTCGAAGCTGGAAGCACGAAAAATAAGCAATGCATTCGCTGGGACTCGAACCTGGACCTCTCGAATATGCGCCGAGTGTGCTAATCGTTACACCACAAAGACATGCTGAAAGAAGGCAGAAAATACCTTATAACAAGTTCATGCATTAGCTTGGCAAAGAGTTTATGAATTTTTGGTTTGGGTGCATATAATCAGAAAGTATCCTAAATTCTGTTAAAGAAGGCAAAAATATTGATGATGGTATAACTATTTTGGAGTGACTAATGAAAGCAGTTGAAAGTCTTTCTTTGAATAATCCATTTATGAAACTAAGTTTTTGCTTTTACTACTTACTTAAGAAATTAATTTTTTGAAAACTAAATTATTAAGCAGATAAATATAAAAACAAATCAACTCTGGAAGAGTAAAGTCATAAAGTCATAATACAAAGTATGGTGAATTCATGGGTAGCAAATAAATGATGAAAAAGATTGAACCAGGATCGTTATATTGAATACATTTGTGAAATTCAACAACAACAACAACAAAAAAAAAAAAAAAAATTTGAGAAATACTGAATATTCATATTCTATGGAATGATTTTTTTTTTAAATGTGGAATTTATAAAGCAAGTGAATATTTGAACTTGAAAAATTTCATGCACTGGCAACAATGAAATTTAAGCAAAACCTGATTATACATCATTAAATTATTAATAAATTATATACTGATAAATTTTTTATGAAATATATTTATAGAGTTATTATATGAAATTGTTTTGATTACACGAAGAAATCATTTTGCAGCATTATACGATTTTAGTTTAATCTATCATTATGTAAGTCCCAAACAGACTGAATTATGAGATTTGTGTTATGTATATGAAGCAGTATATATGATACTGGCAAAGTATAAAATCCGGCATTCTATAGAATGCCAAAAACTGGAATGATTAATATGAAACGATTAAGCATGTTACAGAATTACCAAGGCATTTTATAGAATGCCAAATGACAAACCAGCAAAGTATGAAATACATCTGCAATTCTTTTCGAATAACCAATACTACTTGCTAGAAGTAATAATAAATGATGTCAAAAAGCAAAAATGACTACTAAGAAGGAATCATTGGACTATCAGGTGCTGAATCACTATGATGTGATGTTCATGGAAAACAAAAGTAAACTTGTTTATCCTATTAAAGAAAGCACCAGTTATTTTACGTACTACATAAAATTCATTTGGCTGTTAGACACAGAGGATGTGACAGAATGTTGAAGGAACTTTAAACCAAATACAAAATTGCCTTTCATTATTTTTTCAAAATAACATTTGTGTTTTTGAAGAATGAATACCTTTTAAAAAATAGCCCTATCATAACCATTTCTTCATACTTTGCATAAGAACATTTGTCATTCTAAAGAACGCCTAGGTATTCTATACATTGCCTAGGTAAAGTATGTAATAATTATCATGTTTCATACTTTGCCTAAAAGCATCAGGCATTCTATAAAATGCTTTCATACATTGCCGGTAACATATATTAGTAGAGACATTGATTTCATAGATATTTATCTATAACGAACAGCAAACTTGGCAGCTGAGGCAGATTAAATATTCATTTTTATTTCAATTGACATTTGTGGCCACAATTCATTTGGCGCTGTAATCGTGCTTAATTCAAAACATTTGCAGTTCTAATAGCTTTCTAATAGAGGAAAGTGTGCAGTTATCCAATACGGAAACTTCTTAAAAGAAAGATTTTGGTTTGAATTAGCTACATCTTCATTATTAGGTAAAAGCTGTAAGATATGAATTAATCTAGAAATGATGCAGTCTAGGAAACATTATTACTATTTTTAGAATAGAGAGGGAAAATACCCAAATTAAAATGAGGAATTAAGAGGCTATTGCTAATATACATTATATTTTGATTTACACACTTTTTTATATCACATGTGTAAGATATAACAAAATATGATGGCTGCTTTAAGAAACAACTGGCGACCTCAAAATTAACTATTCTAGATTTTATGTTCTCTTCCCTAAATTCACCTGTTCTCCCAAATTTAAGATCTTTCCATGTTACATAACAACCTAAAATTAATCATTAGCAGCTTAGATATACTTATGCATCTATTCTGTATCCATTATGAATTTCCGTTACACTATCGAAGATTTGAAGAGGTGGTCGGTTAATGCAGATGCTGCGATGACTTTTCCATTGGAATTTGAACACACAGGATATGTGTCTTGTCAACTTTAGTATGTAAGATATAACAAAATACAATGGCTGCTTTAAGAAATTATTGGTTGCCTCAAAATTAACTATTCTAGATTTTATGTTCTTCTACCCAAATTCATCTGTTCTCCCAAATTTGAGATCTTTCCATGTTACATAACAACTTAAAAGTAACCAATAGCAGCTTAGGTATAATTCAGAAGTCAAACAACAAAAATCAGGGTTATATTTACAAAATTTCACAGGACTAGTTTCGATGGTTTTACCGAGCCACCATCCTCAGCTGCAAAACCGCAAATGAACAAGATAGGAAATAATGATTAAATAAGATAAGAAAGCCTGGACAAGAATAAGCAAATGGCACCATCTGTTGGTGAAACCAGAACTAAAATATAATTTTTTTAAAGGCCGAAGGCAAATTTGGATTGGAATTAGGATCGTTAACTAGAACAAAAAGATTTTTATGAATGTGAAATGCCTCTAGAAAATCCAGTTCTCCAATGGAAGATTATTTTTGAATAATTTTGGCAGCAGAAAAAATTGAAAATGTGATTTTCGGACCAACAATGTTGAGCAACAGAAGACTTCTGTATTTCCTTTTTTCTAACATATGCCTCATGTTCCTTGACGCGGAATTTTAAGGCTCTATTAGTTTGGCCAATGTAAATTAAACCACACTGGCAAGGAATCCTATAAATACCCCAGGAATTCATATCCGGAATGGGGTCCTTGAGTATGGAACTCGGAATTTTATTGATGGGAGAATAAACAACCCGAAAGTTAAATTTCTGCAAAATGTGTGCAACTTTATAGCTAATTGATGGAAAGAAGGGAATGACAACAGAATTTTTATAATCTCCTAAAACAAGAAAAATTTTGTGAATATAACGCTGATTTTTGTTGTTTGACTTCTGAATTAGTATTTATTCAGCGTGTTATTGTGTCTTAAGCTTAGATATACTTATGAATCTACTTGGTATAAATACTGCTTTGCAAAACAACTACGTCATTCCTTTCCCTAACTTCTACCATGCTAACACATTTGTGCGGCTTTACTTCCCGTCTAAGATGCCTAGGTCGTACATTTAAAACCAATATAAGTAAAAATATATTTACGGGTACCCCTTGGCGAAAATTGGAGGTACATGGATAACGAGTTTGTGCAATTCTTTGACGTTATTTTGGCTTTATGTAATGGCGATTTTACTGCAAAAAATAGCCGCTACACAAATATAAAACAAAAAGTCAAAGAATTGCACAAACTCAGTATCCATGTACACATTGACTTATTTTCACTTTAAAAAAAATCACAGAATTGCACAAACTAGGCATTGCGCACTCCCTTGACTTTATTCATGTACACGTCAACTTACACTTAAAAAGTATTAGAGAAATGCACAAACTTGGCATTATGCACTCCCTTGACTTTGTCCATGTTCATATTGATAAATTTTCACTTAAAATGTCAAAGGAGCATCCAATTCTAGATAAAAGTATATTTACGGAACATTCAACTACTCAGGTTACCATAAATGAAAACAACAACTTGGCGATAAATGAAACAACAACTCCGCGATAATACAAGGGGTACACTTCAATCTACTCTAACCTAACTATTGTATTTAACTATGATTGGATAAATGCCTTGTTTACCAAAAGTAAGCTGATGTGAATTATCATGGAATAAAGTTGTGTTTAAAAGCGGCCTTGTCTGGAAGTTACTGGTTTCTGCATCTATCTCTCTAACTGGACACCTAAAATACTATATATGCATCTCAGGAATAAATGAACAAATATTTTATCAAAATTTTCATACATAATTTAAAAAACCTTTTCTCTTTTGTATGACACTTTACTTAGAGATTTAGACTGAAAAAAATTTTTAAAAATTTACTTTCGAATATTTTTATAGTTTTTGATCCAAATGTGTCAGGCTTTATTCCTTTTGCGAGAGCAGCAGCTTCTTGTAGAGTGGGAAGTGGAACGTCAATATCCTCTTCTTCAAACACAGTTTCTACTGATGCTAAAAAAAGAGCATTGAATTCTACTTAATAAGAATGAATGAAATTTAATATTTCTTTTAAATAGAATCATACTTCTTTTAAATATCATCAATAAAAGTAACCAATTTTTATGAATTATAACATAAAATTTACATTTATTTGAAGGACACTGTCTAGCCCAGTGACCTGACTGCCCACACTTGAAACAATCACCATGTGCCTGTGAAAAACTTTCAGAACTTCCCAAGTCTTTTTTCATTTGTTTCCACTTTTTCCATTTTAATTTTTTGATGTTAACAGAATGATGACCACGAGAAAATTTTTTTTTCTTGATATTCAGTCTTACAAAATTTTCATTCACTGTTCCAGAAGACATTTTTCTAAAAATAAAAGACAGAACAACAGTTATATATTTTTTTTTACTCCTTTTTTAAATAAAAATAGTACACAAAATCCAGTAGCTTTGTATACCTTTACATTCCAATGGATTTAATACTTAGTATTTTCAACCAATTTTAATGTAAATTTGTTTAATTAGTTTCAAATTAAAATTGTAATAAGCACATGATGGTAAATTAATTTAAATAGTATGGTTTTCTGTGTTTAAGGCCACGTTTGTGTTGAACGTGTAGTACAAAGTTTGGGATCTGGAAGTCCAGACAAATAGTATTTTTTTTTTTAGAATTTTGTTTTTAATGTTTTATGCATGTGCGGTTGATCTTTACAATATGGTAACTGGTAGTTTGGCGACATTTTGGAGGCGATAAAGGTTACTACCTGGGACTTTGGAAATAATGTGAGCAGTACTCAGTTCCGATTACGCATTATTTTGCGTGAGGGAAATGAGAGATCATGGGATATGTCATGTGATATTAATGGACGAATTACGGTTCTTTAATCGAAAAAGGGGGGAAATCGGGAAAAAATGTGGAAATTTTGTATTTAGCTTTATTCTGTGTTGTGTGAAACAGTGTTGTTTAATTTTTGGATCCCATGGCCCTAACTAAAGTGAATTCGAAATGGGTATTTAGGCATTGTGATAAAGAGAAGTTTGCTTTTTATTTAGCGGAGGAAGTATGGAGGAAAAATTCGCAGAAAAAATCTTTCAATAATTTTATTGAATGAATTAGAAAAGTGTATCCGCCACGTAATCAAGATTCTGAAGAAGATTAGGTAAGTTAGTACTTTTAATTATTTGAGGATATTATTTTTATGCATTGTTCTAAATGTAAGGTGGACAGGAATTTGGTATTATTGGGAAAATTGTTATTAGCAATGATTTAGTTTAAAGTAATTAGGATTGTAAGATAATTTTTATTAATTTAATGTATGTGCTCATTTATATTTTAAGTAGTGTTTTTGAATTTAATTATATTTTAATAAAATGATAGTTATTTTGTGAATTTTATGTTTGTAGGAATTTGGTATACGTTTTAGTTGAAGTAAACGTGCATGGAAATAATTTAAATATATGATACTAAGTATTTGTAATACTTGCGGTATGAATTCGTTGGGTGACGTGTATAATGTAATAGATGATTTAGAGGTAAAAGTTTTTGGATATTTTATTTATTTTATATGTGAAAAGGTTCATATTTGTAAAGGGTAAATACTTTTTCGCGATCAGGTAATTTCATATATGTTCTTTTTACCGGGTTTAAAGATTGAGAAAATTGTCATGTATTTTCGTGAAATTTTTCTAAATTATGAGAAAAAAGCAGAGTACATGGATATAGTGAAGAGTGTGCGCAATGCCATTTTTGTGCAATTCTGGGATGTTTTTTTAAGCAAAAATAAGTCGACGTGTACATGGTTTAGTGATATTTTAATTAAATGATAGTTATTTTGTGAATTTTATGTTTGTAGGAATTTGGTATACGTTTAAGTTGAAATAAACGTGCATGGAAATAATTTAAATATTTGATACTAAGTATTTGTAATGCTTGTGGTATGAATTCGTTGGTGACGTGTATAATGTAATAGATGATTTAGAGGTAAAAGTTTTTGGATATTTTATTTATTTTATGTGTGGAAATGTTCATATTTGTAAAGGGTAAATACTTTTTCGTGATCAGGTAATTTCATATATGTTCTTTTTACCGGGTTTAAAGATTCAGAAAATTGTCATGTATTTTCGTGAAATTTTTCTAATTTATGAGAAAAAAGCAGTGTACATGGATATAGTGAAGAGAGTGCGCAATGCCATTTTTGTGCAATTCTGGGATGTTTTTTTAAGTAAAAATAAGTCGGCGTGTACATGGTTTATGTGTATGTGTTATTTTGAAAAACGCGTAAGGAATATGGTATTGTGCACTTTTTCCCAATTTTGCAGTGTTCCAATTCCCAATTTTCCAATTTGCATATTTTGTCATGATTAAGCAGTTTTGTTTGATAAAATTTCTAGCATAAGTGTAATTCGGCTAGTAGATTGTTGGAAGAAGTGTCCAGTAGATAAAAAGAAAAGAAACATGTCTTTACTTCGTGAAGACAAAATGGCGGCGGGGAAAAAAAATAGAGGGTTGCTGTAGGAGAGTTGTTTGCCAAATTTTCGCCAAAAAAATCGCCAAGTTACCATAATGTAAAGATCAACCGCATGTGCATTTGACGTCTTTTTGTAATAAAACACGTGAGAGTCCCAATTTTTAATTTAATTTTTGCCCTAAATAAAATGCCTCCATACTGACAAAACAACCATTTATTAGCAAAACTGTGTGTTCAATAATTTGGATCTGTAGCTGCCTTTCCATTTGTCATACTTTTGAAATCGAAACATCATTAATTTAACAGCTACTGAATAATTTATCCCTGATTTTAACCTGGTGAATCATTATTTAATATTTTTTGCTTTGCAATTGTTAGATTTCGGCTCACTGCGCTGTGAAATGGTCATTGTGCTGATGAGGAGAAATTTCGGAACTACTCTGATATGCGCCCTCAAGGCGCCAAATTTCTCGCCAAGTATTTTTGGTGAGAAACTCCACGCTGCCATATTGCTATCTAAACTTTTTTGTCTACATTTCGAACTTTAAGGCTAAAATGTCTCCAAAAACGCGGTTTTCGCGACATGCAAAAACCACGTTTTGAACACGCAATTTAAGCTAAAAATCCAAACAAAAAATTTAAGTAGCAAAACCGTGAAGTTTCTAACCAAAATTATTTGACAAGAGTCCATGTACACAGCGATATGTTTTAACTTAAAAAAACATCTACGAATGGCACCATTTAGGCAACGAACGAATTTACGAACTACGCACACCTCGCTTTAATAAATTAACAAAACAACAATAAATTTCAAAGAATACCATGTACACAGCGTTCTGTTTCAACTTTAAAAAACATCTACGAATTGCACAATTCAGACGGTACGCACTAATCAACAAAATAACTAAAATAAATTTCAAACAATTGAAAAAAACAATAACGACAGAAATTCATACTAAAAAAAACAATGAACATAACATTCTACAAAATAAGAACAAGGAATAAAATAAAATGCACTTACCATGAATGAAGGCTTTTTCGAACAGCAGAAATACCAATTTCATACCGCCTTTAACATACCGCAACGTAATCACTATCGTATTTATATGAAAGCCAGACACACTATCCAGAAAATTCATACTATGGTTCACAAATAAATAAAATAACAAATAATCAGAAATCCCTAATTCTATCATGCCTAGCCACTAAAAATAATCTCTCATAACTTCTTTCCACACCTCCAAATACCTATTGCCCCTCAACAGGATGGCCCCGACGATATTTCCTTATGCCGAACTTCAATTCAACAATTTTCACCATTAAAATCTTTCCCCCTTAGCTTTTCAGACACAAAGCATGACGGGAACCAACGAACTCCAGTGAAAGATTTTTCAACGTCAACAGGGTTGCCATACAACATGCAATTCGCGCCAAAAACCAGCGCAGAACACATATCGCCACATTTGGTGAAATTAGGGCGTATATCAGAGTTATACCGAAATTTCTTTCCCCATGTAAACAATAGATCATCTAAATGAAATTGAGATAAACAGACAATAAATTTCCATATATGCAAAAATATTTTGTAAATGAAATGGAGGCATAGGCCGTAAGATAACAGGTAGAGGATATTAGAACGAGAAAATTTAGTACAAATTCTTGACATGGCAGCAATTACAGGACTTGAACAACGGAGGCTTTTAACAACACATGAAATTATGTCTATCTATAGCATTAATGAGAAAATATTACCACAAAAACAGAGCAACTTAAACAACTTAGATTGAAAGAAACGTTTAATAAAACAGAGAAATAAGTATTGAGGTTTTTTTTTTAAATTTTGATTCCCTTAAGTTTATAAAGAGTCCTGGTGGCACAGTGCATAGCGTGTCGCGCAGCAGCACCACAGGTCCGGGGTTCGATTCCCCGGCTGGGCAAGGTCGACTCAGCCTTTCATCCCTCGATTTCCATCACTTGCGTCGACAAAATGAGAACCAAGTTTGCTTGGGGACTAAACACTGGTCCTGCGACAAGCTGATCACTTGTTCAGGGCATATGCTTACGCAACCCTGGGCCCATGGTCAAGAAAGCAGATTTTCAGACACTGCAGACCTAGTCCCATTAGGGCTGTTACACCACTGAGTTTAGTTTAAGTTTATAAATGCTTCATGATTACATACTTTATAATTTCTACATATTATCTTACTAGATTTAAACTGATAATACAATAACCAGAAAAATTCCCAAATTCGGAATTGCTGAAATTCCAAGTCTGGATCTTGTGTTTAGTACTGTATTACATTACTGAACCAAGAAATAAAAAATTTTATTTTTTTTGTATAATATATAACATCAGGAAGGAAAAAAAAAAAAAAAAAAAAAAAAAAAAAAAAAAGAGAAAGAGAGGCGGAGAGAATTTAAAATAATAATTATTAAAAACTTAATATCTGTCGAATTTACATAATATTTTACAGCATTTAATATATAATGAATATATATTTTTAATATAAATATTTTAATATATAATAATTTCTAATATTCAGTTGCTTTTATTACTGTAAGTGATCCCTTCAATTATATATAAATATTTGCATATTACATGTTCAATTACTCTAGGTATTCAAATTTGTATAGCTTTGTTAAAAAAAAAAAAAATAAATAAAACTGAAATCACATACTTTTCTAAATGAGCAGTTTGTTTTGACTTTTTAAGCACAGGGAAATCCTCAGAGTGTTCTTTCTTTAATTTTCTTTTCTTGGAAATTTTTATTTTAATGTCTTTTCCACAATCCTTATTATGACCATTATTTAAAGTTTGTGAAAGATCATCTAAAATTCCATTTTCATTACGTGGCATACAATTTTGCCCATTGTTTACATTATTTTCAATCTTCAAATCCATTTCTTTAGATCTGATAAAACTGCATGATATGACATCATCTGAAGTAGCAAAATCTGTCTGCTTCTCTTTCTCACTACAGGGAGCTGACTCATTATTTTGGCTATTAGAAATCTCATCTTTTGGAGCTTTGCATTCAGAATAGGTACACATTTCATTTTTTTCAACATGCAATGGAACATCAGTACTTATGTTTCTGAAAACAGATAAAATTTTTTCCTCTTCCTCCCCAGAACTATTTTCTTGAGAAAGTACTTTATTTGAATTGTTCAGACACCTTTCGAACCATTCTCTATCAATTTCTTGATTAAAATGCAAAGTTCTTTTAGAACTATTTAAATTAATAGCAGGTGACAATATATTAATACTTTTGACTTGTTTAGGTGCATCATAACAAATCATTAAATTCTTCTTAGTCACACTGTCTGCTTTATATTCCAGGTCAGAATTAATTTCGGTTAATTCAGAACTACCTTTTTCATCTAATGGATCAGCATTGTTTAAATCTATATGGTTCCCATTTTGTGAAATTTCTTTTTTTTGATGAACAGAAGAAACTGCCTGAAATAAAATAAAATTAATTTAAGAGATTCACTATCTGGTTTATTACACATATATAAAATTCTTAGAATTATATGAGTTATAAGAAATTATGAATTATAAAAAATTTCTTTTATATAATTGAAATAAACATATTTTACTTTAAAATTTAGTGTAGAAGACTTTCTTCTTATCTTATCACAGATTTTATTCGTTGCAGAGTCAGAAGCTTTCACTCTGGATGTCTTTAACTTAGACTTATTTAACTTGTAACTCCATACATCATCCTATTTCATGAATAATTTATGTAAAAAAATAATGAAAACAACACAAAATACAGAAATGAGAGAATTAGACAATTTTATTTGAGCAAATGAGGAGATAGATGCATTTAAAAGACAGATAAAAAAAAAAAGAGAGATAGATGCATTTAAAAAAAGCTTACCTTTAAAAGTTGAATGGCTTCAGATTTCTCATTTCGTAATTTCCAATAATTTCGGTATGCATCTGAAAAAGAGGAGAGAGTATACTCACACATTTATATTGTACAGATATTTACACTGTAGTAAATGAATATATGACCCAATCAACTTACCTTTTATATTTTTAGAGGCATTTTTAATATCGTCCTAAAAGTAAAAATAGAAGAAAAGAGATAATAAAATATGTAATGAATAAATTTTGGTTACCAATAATAATAATAATAATAATTAAATACAGAAACTCACTTTGCCAGGCTTTCTTAAGTTTCTTTTTAAAAAATCTTGCTCCCATGTTTTAATTTCAACTTTTAATTTTTCTAATTCGTTATTTTGTTCCATTGATACTAACCTTCCAAAAATTACATATCATCGTACAGGTTTTGAAGAGAAAAATAATAATTTAAAAGTGCATTCAAGGCATGTTTTAAAAATTCTTCCTATTTTTTGCTCATGAAATCTGACAAAAGATTTGCAGATCAGAAATGATTGTTTACATGAATTTTTAACTTTCCTGGTTTTTAAGCTGAAATATTAACGGTTACAACTACAACAAGAATAATAAGAATATATTGCTTTCATATTCCAAAATAAGAAATGAAAAATAATGGACTGAAATTTGGAAAATAATTAAATAAGTAAAACATCAAGTTTTTATTTGCACATTTTAAATTATAAAACATTTATTTAGTTTCATATTGACATTTTACGTAATTAAATTAAGGACCACAAAAAAGCTCTTTTTTTGTTGTTCTTCTGTTTTTTTGTTTATGCATATGCGTCATGAATTATTAAGAAATCATAATTTTCATGCATTAAACATCCAGCAACGAACTTCTGGGTAGAAGAAGAAGCTCTTTGTATCAAGCGAAGAAGACGTGGCAATGTTTACACCTAAAACATAAAACATGTGTTCTTTCGTAATCACGCGGGATGTACGTGTGGGTGGTAAAGCTGTGGTTGTTTGAGTGAAAATTATGAACGACAAATTTTGTTTTGCTATTGATAGGGGTGGTACTTTTACTGATGTTTTTGCTGTTTGCCCTGGAGGTAAAGTAAGAGTCTTAAAGCTTCTTTCTGATGATCCCGCAAATTATGAGGATGCCCCTCGTGAAGGTATACGAAGAGTCCTTTCGGAGGTAACTTTAATTCATGCTCTCATACATTTTATTCGAAAAATGTCGGCTTAACCCCAGCTTTAGTGAGATATTCTCCCGAATGCGGGAATGGCAAGATAACTTTTCATTTTCCTTTTAATCACAATGAATGCCGGCAACCTGTAGGTTTTCGCTGTGTTGCTTGAATATGATATACATTTTGCTTATTTTAACTCGTACATTTTGCGGTGACATTTTCAAATGTCACATTACATGTCTCATGATCTCTCATTTCTCTGAGACAAAATAATCTGTGATTTGAACTGTGTACTTCTCAGATTATTGCTAAAATCCTAGCTAGTAACCTTTATCACCTTACCAAAATGTTGCCAAACTACCTGTTACCATATCCCAAAGATTAGCCATCTTTACTTCTATCTCACACAACCTTAAAAAAAAAAAACACTTAATACTACCCCTTTCAATCCCACCAAATACCCATTTTCCTTCCACTCTCCTACCTCTCTGGTACTCGCGCTTCCCAAACTTACTTTCATCAATTTCAACAATAACATTCATACCACCAAGCATACCCATATCATCCTTGCAAAATTCCACGCCCACTTCCCTACAGAAAGAGTTGCAACTGGCTGCAGTACTACTGCTAATTTCTAAATCCGAAATCCAGTAGTCAACTGGCAGTCTATTCACCCAGTAGTAAGAAATTAATAAAATTTCACCCATACTCAAATGACTTTCAGGAAACCAGGTACCCTTCCTTACACTCCGTTTCACAAAATGTCCATTTTCACCAGATTTCGTGCACTGCCATGCAAACTTATCTGTAATATCCTTCCTTTCACACAATCTCATTTCATTCCCACATGTCGGACATTCATACTTATCCGCAATTAATCCTACACTCGTACACCATTCAAGCAATTCTTTTGGTTATCACATAAATGCAATAAAAATTTCGAATTCACTTTAGATAGGGCCATGGGATTCAAAAATTAAGCAACACTGTTTCACACAACACAGAATGAAGCTAAATACAAAATGCTATAAAGTACGCAGATATTTTTCCAAATTTCCCCCCTTTTACGATTAAAGAACTGTGATTCGTCCATAAATGTCACATGACATATCTCATGATCTCTCATTTCTCTCAGACAAAATAATCCGTAATTGGAACTGGGTACTTCTTGCATTATTGCCAAAGTCTCACATTATCACCTACCAAAATGTTGCCAAACTGCCTGTTACCATATTCCAAAGATTAGCCATAATTTAAATATTTGACACTAAGATTTGTAATGCTTGCGGTATGAATTCGTTGTTGACATTTATAATATAATAGATGATTTAGAGGTAAAAGTTTTTGGATATTTTATTTATTTTATATGTGGAAATGTTCATATTTGGAAAGGGTATATACTTTTTCGCGATCAGGTAATTTCATATATGTTCTTTTTACCGGGTTTAAAGATTCAGAAAATTGTCTTGTATTTTCGTGAAATTTTTCTAATTTATGAGAAAAAAGCAGTGTACCTGGATATAGTGAAGAGTGTGCGCAATGCCATTTTTGTGTAATTCTGGGATGTTTTTTTAAGTAAAAGTAAGTCGACGTGTACATGGTTTATGTGTATGCGTTATTTTGAAAAACGTGTAAGGAGTATGGTATTGTGCACTTTTTCCCAATTTTGCAGTGAATATTTGTCATGTTTAAGCAGTTTTGTTTGATAAAATTTCTAGCATAAGTGTAATTCGGCTAGTAGATTGTTGGAAGAAGTGTTCAGTAGATAAAAAGAAAAGAAACATGTCTTTACTTCGTGAAGACAAAATAGCGGCGGGAAAAAAAAAATAGTGGGTTGCTGTAGGAGAGTTGGTCGCCAAATTTTCGCCAAAAAATCACCAAGTTACCATAATCTAAAGATCAACCGAACGATTTTTTCTGCGAATTTTTCCTCCACACTTCCTCCGCTAAATAAAAAGCAAAATTCTCTTTATCACATCTAGAATTCACTTTAGACAGCGCCATACAATCCCAAAATTATTCACCCTACTTCACACAACACACAATGAAGCTTAATACAAATAAATATACAGCCACATATATTTTTTCAAATTCCCCCCTTTTCCGATTAAAGAACCGTAATTCGTCCATTAATATCACATGACATATCCCATGATCTCTCATTTCCCTGACACAAAATAATGCGTAATCGGAACTGAGTACTGCTGACGTTATTACCAAAGTCCCAGGTAGTAACCTTTATTGCCTCCAAAATGTCCCTAAACTACCAGTTACCATATTCTAAAGATCAGCCTAAATTATTTCCATGCACGTTTACTTCAACTAAAACGTATACCAAATTCCTACAAACATAAAATTCACAAAATAGCTATCATTTAATTAAAATATCACTAAACCATGTACACATCGACTTATTTTTGCTTAAAAAAAAAAAAAATCCCAGAATTGCACAAAAATGGCATTGCGCACACTCTTCACCATATCCATGTACACTGCTTTTTTCTCATAAATTAGTAAAATTTCACGAAAATGCATGACAATTTTCTGAATCTTTAAACCCGTTAAAAAGAACATATGTGAAATTACCTAATAACGAAAAAGTATATACCCTTTCCAAATAGAACATTTCCACGTATAAAATAATAAAATATATCCAAAAACTTTACCTCTAAATTATCTATTATATTATAAACGTCACCAACGAATTCATACCGCAAACATTACAAATACTTAGTATCAAATATTTAAATTATTTCCATGCACATTTACGGAAATGTTCATATTTGGAAAGGGTATATACTTTTTCGTTATTAGGTAATTTCATATATCTTTTTTTTAACGGGTTTAAAGATTCAGAAAATTGTCATGCATTTTCGTGAAATTTTACTAATTTATGAGAAAAAAGCAGTGTACATAGATATGGTGAAGAGTGTGCGCAATGCCATTTTTGTGCAATTCTGGGATTTTTTTTTTAAGTAAAAATAAGTCGACGTGTACATGGTTTAGTGATATTTTAATTAAATGATAGCTATTTTGTGAATTTTATGTTTGTAGGAATTTGGTATGCGTTTTAGTTGAAGTAAACGGGCATGGAAATAATTTAAATATTTGACACTAAGTATTTGTAATGCTTGCGGTATGAATTCGTTGTTGACGTTTATAATATAATAGATGATTTAGAGGTAAAAGTTTTTGGATATTATATTTATTTTATATGTGGAAATGTTCATATTTGGAAAGGGTATATACTTTTTTGCGATCAGGTATTTCATATATGTTCTTTTTTACCGGGTTTAAAGATTCAGAAAATTGTCTTGTATTTTCGTGAAATTTTTCTAATTTATGAGAAAAAAGCAGAGTACATGGATATATTGAAGAGTGTGCGCAATGCCATTTTTGTGTAATTCTGGGTTTTTTTTTAAGTAAAAAGTCGACGTGTACATGGTTTATGTGTATGCGTTATTTTGAAAAACGTGTAAGGAGTATGGTATTGTGCACTTTTTCTCAATTTTGCAGTGAATATTTGTCATGATTAAGCAGTTTTGTTTGATAAAATTTATAGCATATGTGTAATTCGGCTAGTAGATTGTTGGAAGAAGTGTTCAGTAGATAAAAAGAAAAGAAACATGTCTTTACTTCGTGAAGACAAAATGGTGGCAGGGAAAAAAAAATAGTGGGTTGCTGTAGGAGAGTTGGTCGCCAGATTTTCGCCCAAAAATCGCCATGTTACCGTAATCTAAAGATCAACCCAGATTTCTTCCATTAATTGAAAAATTTCGCCTTTTGATTGTGACATCCAATTTGCTTTCAGTACTTCACATAAGAGATTTTGTATTAAAATGTTAAAAAAAGTCTTGAATGGTCTTGTCACTGTTTAGAAAATTTAGCGTAAACTTTAAAAACAGTACTTAATATCTGCATATCGATGTGCAGCACTCTGATATCCATTGGACGAATGGTGGATACATAATTTGGAAGAAAAGATAAGACAGAGAGGTTATCTTTTGCTAAAATAAAGTATAAGTCAAATAGTTGTCCTTGATGAGAAGTATTTTTTACATCATCATGTAAACCAGTCAATTTTAAATATTGCCAAGCTTCTGGTATGAATAATTTCAAACCAAGCATTTGTTTATGTTGTTCATGCTGTTTTATTTGAAAGATGACATTTGGCAATTTATTCAACAGGGAAATTCTTTACTCCATTAAATACCCAAAGTCATATTTTTATGATTATGAAAAGTTAACTTCTTTCTGCATTCTCGTGGCATTTGTACATGTCAAAATTGTTAGTTTTGCCTTATAATCTGACATAAATTGGGCTTTTCTGCAGAAGTTGTCAAGGTATTTCTGGGCACATATTGCCAGCAAAGACCAGTTTTTTCAGTATTTTAAATTTGTTATAGAGATAACTTTCCACTATTAATAAGTTTGATGAATTTGTCTGTTCAGCTACTTTATTATCATCTGAAGCATCTATTAGCATCTCGTCATTTAGAGTTGCAGAAGTCTAGATTTGAACCCTATTGTTATGCATTCTGATATTTCTCTTTTCTTTAGTGATGTTTCAAATTTATGCAACTGTGTTTTTCAGGTGTTTATGAGTTATATGAATGAACTTTGATATCAGAAATGAAGCATTGATAAATTGTTGGTATTATTCATCAAATTCAATGTAAAATGACCTCTTTATTTTCCAAATGTCCTGCATATGACTTAGTTCAAATTTGATCATTTGCACAATTTATTATGGGCTTATTTTCAAATTTTGCTTACATATGCTGTCCCGGAAGACGAAAAAGAAAATTCAAGATATATTAATATTTAAAGTTTAATTTGAGCAATGCATTACATAAAGATGACTATAAATATATTTCTACAATTTAAGATTGTAGAAATGAATTGAAATTTTTTAGATATAAATTTAAAAAAATGTGATCGTAAGCAAAAATACCTATCCCTTTCAAGTTTTACGATATTCAACCTCTTTGTTTTGTAACCTAATTAATTTTTTTAAATGAAGAAGATTAATTATTTTAAATGTGAACTATTAATGTGTTATATTCAAAATAGAAATTAATTACAGAAGTTTTTTTTTTTTTTAGCAAATCAATAAAAAATATTTGTCTTCCGCTTCATGTCAAATCCGTTACCTTGAGATTATTCTACCCACAGTTAGTTTGTAAATCTGCCTGAAGGAGGCAGTACGTATTCAAAGTAGTCAAGCTTAGCTTGACTAGTTTATCAATGCCACTGAATATGCACTGTCCCTTTTAGGCAGGTTTACAAACTAATTGTGGGTAAAATAATCGCAAGGTAAGGGACTTGACATGAAGCGGAAGACAAATCATTTTTATTGATTTGCTAAATTTATATCTAAAAAATTTCAATGGATTTTTTAAATGTTTTTAAAATATTTTTTTATATTTTAAATTCTAGAAATATATTATACTCATCTTTATGCAGTGCATTGCTCAAATTAAATTTTAAGTATTAAAATATCTTGAATTTCCTTTCTTTTCTTCTGGGACAGCATATGTAAGCAAAATTTGAAAATGGCCCTCTGTATCTTTTGCCTTTTAGATGTGACAGAATTTATGGAAAGAGCAATCATTAAACACTACAATAAAAATGGAATAAGTATTGTCTTTAAATGGAATAGGTCATCTCCTTTATCATCATAATGTAATCTGATTAATGAGTTTTGACTGCAGTTTTTACTACTTTATATTCAGAAATTATTATAATATGGAAGATTTTTTAAAAACTGTTTTGCAACTAAATATTTCTTGAACAATTAGTCATAGATCCTCACTGCTAGCTTGAAAAAGGAATTAGGTAATATAGGTTTTCAGATTAATTATTTTAATCACATGAGCTATTTTAATGAAATAGAGAAAATTTTAATTTTTATGTGAGATATGGACAAAGAATAAGTAAGTTGCTCATTATCATGCAAGATGCTCTGGCTGAAAGCTGGGGGGGGGAGGGAATAAGCAAGAATTATAGGGGAAAAGAAGTGATTACTTTAGGGATCATATGAAAAGTGAATTTTGTCATGAAAAATTTTCAAATATGAGACATTACTGTAAATGATTACGTGTTTGATTAACAGACTCACGAGCAGTGCTACAGTGTGTGGAAGAAAAAAATTATCTCCAGTGGACAACACTGTGTATCGGAAATTTTAAAGATTTTCTCTTTTTAAATTATTTTGTGTTATTGCTGTTGAATTGAATTTTGTGGTTGGAGTTCAAAGAACATGATATTTAATAGATAAACTGTTAAAAAAAAAACTTTTTCTATAATATAAAATCTGAAAACTTTCGGATTTTTAAAATTTTTGTTTGTTCACTTACATTTGGCAACTATGTTTAGAGAACAGTCTTGAGTTTGAATATATTCTGTTATCTCAGTTTTCAGTTACCCCTTTTGTTACACTAATGCTTTATGATCATGTATATAAAGTATAAAATTTAATGTTTTTTACTTATTTTTAGGTTTCGAGTCAGAATTATGATCCAGGTAAGCCCATCGGTACAAGTGAGCTTGACTGGATACGGATGGGAACAACTGTTGCCACCAATGCACTTTTAGAAAGGAAAGGAGAAAGAATAGCCCTAGTCATAAGTGCTGGCTTTAAAGACACTTTACATATTGGAAACCAATCTAGACCGAAAATATTTAGTTTGGTATGATTTTCTTATATCAATGAAAACAAAAATATGCCAATTTTAAAAGAACAAATACAGTATTATCTCCCGGTAAGAGACACCCAGCAGACCAGATATTTTGTCCTGTAAAAAGAGGTATATCTTCTTCGGAAGATACATACTAAAAATGTAATTTAATTAAAAATTCATGTTCTATCAAGCTCTAAATAAAATAAATGATATAAATAAGTAAGAAGTCAGTTTTTTTTTTTTTTTCAAATTTGAAGGTAGTAAAAAATTAAAATTCTTAACAAAGTTGTCAACTCTGCAGATTTCTGATCGTTCTCCCACCAATCCGATTTATAACATATTTCTCCTGACATTCTCTTATTCTTAAAATTTCTCACAATTTTTATGTAGCTTGGCTTAATACTTCTGTCTTTGCAATCCCCAAAAAGTGATTTTGGATGTCTGAAAGCACATGGTTTTTCTCTAGACTGCATAAAAAACCAAATTAGTTTCATCGATGAGAAATTTTGGCACACTTCTGGTTTGTGAGTGAGAACACATGTCCAAAAACGTCATGTTCCATTTCTCCATTGAGCATCGAGTGCCACTGCACGTCTTCTGGCACATATTAGCCAATGAGCACAGAGCAAGATCGAGGTTGTTATTTCATTCATTTCATCCCTAAGCTGTGTGTCAGCGCACATGCTTTCGGGAAATGATTTTCCTTCTATAATTTACTCAAGGAACTGTAATACATTTGTGACGTATACCATTTGTCATTGCATTTTTTTGATTTCACACGGTGGAAAGGCCAATGTTCTCAAATATGTGCATACATATAAAAATACAAGGATAACATGCATTCTATTTAAAAAAAAAAAAAAAGGAAAATTATTTTTCTTTCTGTGGAAACGAAGTTCCAGAAAGTTATTAATGCAGAATGTACTGTTTGCATTTAAGAATTAGTAACTGAACTTTCAGATATTAATTAGTAACTATTTAAAGTTAATTCATTATTAAAAAATATGTTTTTATCATTTAAAAATCTTTTTTTGCCCTTCAGAAAAATTTCTTGATTTTTGAGTGTCATAGGTTGGCATGCATGTCTTAATTAAAAAGCTTAATTATTGGAAAAATGTATGAAATGAACAATAGAGTTTTGTACTTAACATAAATTCGATGAAAATACTTTACCCAGCTTTGTTTCAAAGTCTGTGCATTGCAAGCATTTTTTCCTCTTGAATATTAAAGTTGCTAATGATCTGTTGTTGTCTTGTCCTTACTACATGGAACAATGGTTACCAGAGCCTATTCCTAAGAGGGGTAAGACTTCTATTTTCCACCTCCAATTTTGAGGGAGAGCACCTCCAGGGGGGAGGGAATTCAATGATCTTCCATCCCTCTCCACTCCCACCAATCCACACGAGAGGACTTTTGGCTCGGCGCATATTTAGAGTGCTGTCATGGTGCAACAATACTATACATTTACAAACATCTATGTGTTCTCTGGGATTCGAACCCGGACCCTTCGGTACTATAAGTACCTCTTCTAACCACTATACCGTCTGGGCAACTGCTAATGATCTTAAACCCTTCTTTGTCACCAACAATTAACATGATTTTTTTTAATTGGAAGGTGTATTTTAAGATGTGTGTACTTTTTTATGTCGCACGTTTCATTTGGCTCTTATTACTACTTTTCAAGCTATTTTTGTTAAAGCTGACCGCATCAACTGTGGTTGAAATAAAATATTTTTTATGTCATCAATGTACACAAGCTTTTATTAATATCTAAATATATTTGCATTTGAGCAGGGCTGTTGATTTTGACAAGTTGAAACAATTCGTTTTTATCAGTAGTATTTTCACTAAGGGCACTCGAAACTGGAATTTTAAAAAGCCTACTTTAAAAGAAGTGTAATATGAGTTTAAAGTTTTTAACTTTTCCCATTACCCTTTCTCAGGAACATAACTAAAATTTGTGGTAATATTAATATGGATATTACAAAACTCTGCCACATGCACCAGTTCATATACAACAAAAATTTTCATATTTAACCCACTGTTCAATACGAGAGGGACAATATATGCCACAAAAAGAATTTATTCGAAATTTCTTAAATTTGACATTAAAAAATTTAAATTACTACTAAGAACAATAAGGAATATTTAATACTAAGCATGCTTTAAATAGAATTGTATTTACTGTAAAATTAAAAAAAAGTAGACAAACTGAAATTTAAGTAATCGGACATTTACAAGCTGATCATTATTTCCACAAGAAGTTTGACTAGGAGCATGCCATAAAAACAGATTTGTCATGAACCTTGAAACTTCTAATTATGCCTTTTTTGCAAAGGCTGTTATATTAATGTTACATTAGGTGGAAAAAAACACTGATCTCAACTTCACATATGGTGGGTGAGCTGCAAATTGTCAAGAAATAGCAGAATCTTTTTATTTTTATTAGACGTTGTTTCATCAAGAGGAATCAACCATTCTGACATTATGTTTTGCATCATCCATGCTTTTTATTATGTTGCCAATCGACAGAAAGTTTTTGGATTGGTGTGTTTGAAGCATCTTGGTATTTTTAGCATTTCCAATTACAAATGATTGCTCAAACTCTCCTTCCATGTTACTACAATATTGGCGTTTCCTTACAGCTTTTAACACCAGAGTATATTTCTCCTTTGAAGCATAGTGTTTTGTTAGGCAAAATTTATTAAAATAATCCAGTTTCATTAGCATTTTAGATGTGTTTAGCCTCATATCCTTTAGAAATTTCATTTAGCTTTTTTATCCATTCTGTTACATGTTGCATATCTATTTTCTTCACCAAAGATAGTGAGTAATTATAGTTTATAAGGTATTTTCTCCTTCCTTCCAGCGTGCTGGTTAGTACACTCGGTGCATATTTGAGAGGTGCAGGGTTTGAGGCTTGGCAAGGGCATTGTACATTTTTCATGTCTCCTGTTTCAAAATAACCTAATGACTATAGTGGTGCCTGAACAGAAAGGTGATGAATCATGATTCTTCATCACCACGATTCTGCAATTGGTTACCGCAATCCTAAGTTGCCCTTTAAAAGGGGAAGCATATAAGGTATTTTCGCCATCCTTTCAGCATGCCTTCACAGTGTAATGGTAGCACACTCACCGTGTATTCGAGAGGTTCAGGGTTCGAGTCCTGGTGAGGGCACTGCACATTTTTCACGTCTCATGCTTCTACATAACTTAATGACTCTACAGTGGCACCCAAACAGAAAGGTGATGAAGGATGATTCCTTACCACCAGAATATGGTGATTGGGTACCCTAATCCTCAGTTGCCCTTTAAAAGGGGGTATATAAGGGATTTTCTCCATCCTTCGTGGTGTAATGGTTAGCACACTCAGCATGTATTCGAGAGGTCCAGGGTGTGAATCCCTGCTAGGGCATTGCTAATTTTTTCATATTTCCTGCCTTCAGAAATCCTAATGTCTCTACAAATTGTTATGTCTTTGCTTAAATTTGTTCAACTGATTATTTGGTGTTTAGAAATTCTGTGGTCCCAGACTTTCTGAAACTTCTTTAGTCTTTTCTTACAATAATACTCTATTTACAAGAATACTGTTGGCTTCTTAAAGAACAGCACTACTGTATCTGTAATTGAACACTACTGTATCAATTTCGCATTCTTCAATTCTTGTAAGTTTTACAGTGTTGGAATGTTTATTTGAATTAGTAATCCATATTAATTTTATTTCTTCTCAATCCTTTAGCATTGCCTTTCTTTCCCATTGATCCCTGTCTTGCATTGCCTGTGCCATTGTTTTCTTTCCCCTACCAAGAACTATAGAAGAAATAACTGCATTTTGAATTTTATGAATGTGAAATATTTTGATTGCATCACAGTTTGCATTTTTTTCCTATGTAGTGTTTCCCTTCTCCCTACTGAAAAGCAGTTTTCAAAAAAGAAGGATTAATTTTTCTTTTTATTGTTCTCTTGTCATGCAACTTCCTATCACTGAGTACAAATTTGCCTCAGAAACCTCGAAAGATTATTAGCAAAGAGTGTTTCTATTTTTATTTATTTCTCTACATTTATTTTATTTTTAGCCCAAAGGGCATTAGCCCAGAAGGGAGGGCTATTAATTTTCTTTTGGCATTTTGCATTGAAAACTTTAAAAGGTTGTATTACCTTTCAAATTGTTGGCACCAAATATTATTGCCCTATATCATATTTAAAGAAATTAAATAATGAAGAATCTGCATCAATGTATGTATGTTAATCGCACTGAGTGAAACAACAGTACCTAGAGCTATTGAATTTTTAATAACGTACGTCTCCACCTGACTATGGGTATCTGGAAGCCCAAATTTGGAATTTAGAATTTGTTTTATTATCTATTTCATGTTTTGCAAAGCTTTAACGATTTTTTGAGTAATAAACTCAATGATTTCAGAGCGAACAATGGCAGCTCTCTATCCAAATAACAAGTCAAAGAATTGCGCAAACTCGGTATCCATGTACACAACGATCTATATTCTCTTCAAAAGTCAAAGCAGCAGTCAACAAAAACTATTAATCTTAATAATCTTGTCAGTCCGAGAGTGTGAAAGCGATAGCAGCAGTGAAATTATTCTTGCTAGAAAACTGCCCAGAGTGGATGCATTTTTATCATCTTCTGACAAGGAGGAGGAGATTGTTGGAGAATGGCATGACCTGAGAATGGTGGCCTAAACGGAAAGTTGATGGCTGACATATTTAATTCTGTGTAACATTTAATGGATTAATTGAAATTTATTAATTATGAATTTCAGTTGTTAGTCTTTGTGAAAAATTAATTCTAAATTTCTTACTTTAATAATAATATATATATATATATATACAGTCAAAAGTCATTAATCCCGGCTTGTCAGGACTTCGGCGATTCCAGATTATCGATTTTTCCGGGTTATAGATCATCAGTTTAAATCTGGTAAGATGGCATGCAGAAATTATAAAATTAAAAATATGAAACCGTAATTTATGAAATAAAGAACAATTATGATCTAAAGGGTATCAAAATTTACAAAAAGAAAAAGCTTAATATTTATTTGTTTACTTTATTAAACATTTCTTCAATGTAAGTTGTTTAAGTTGCTTCGTTTCATGTGATAATACTTTCTCTTTAATTCTATAAACAGACATAATTTCTTGTTTAGTTACAAAGTTCCGCTGTTCAAGTCCTATAATTGCTGTGTTGAGAATACCGACTAATTTGTCAATCGAAATTTTTTCGTTTTCAATAACCTCTGTGTCACTTTCTTCACTATCGGAAGCGAATTATAATGACGAGGAATTTAATTTAAATCATATCAAAGACGGAATACATTGAGATGAAAGTAAGGAATTATGAACCAAATAATATAAAAATATCTGCCCTGAAGATAAAGATAGTGCTGACAGATCAACTTCCAATTCATTGCACGCCGTGGCATTCCCCCCCTCCCCCCGCCGCAGAGCAGAGTGAAATTGATAAACAGATTTCGGAATGGTTAGAGAAATGAAGGATATGCTTTTATCCATTGTTTGCAGCAATTTCACTTTTTGTTTAATTGACTTCGAAACATACTTTCGCTTTGTAGATCCTTTACATATTAGTAAATATATATCAGAAATTCTATTCGACATAATCGAAAGTTCAAACTTACTTTTATAAAATTGCTCTAACTGTCTGCAAAAAATAATAAGCAGAATCCAATTCAAAGATTAAGGAACAACGCTATCTGCAATATTAACTGAATTAGATAATTTTAGCTTAGCTTATACCGTCCGTTATACATTAAATGCACATGCATAAACGTATTATGCACACACGTATATTCGCAGCCGTAAAGGTCTTACGCATCCATAATTTCTGCGCATGCGTGAACGCGACGCATGCGCAGTAAGTTTGTATCTTTGAGGTCCGGATTATGGGTGTCCGAATTAACGACTTTTGACTGTATACAAGGTATTCAGCAAAAGAGTCCCTGATTTCAGTATTAGAAATCTTGAAAACAAAGATCAATAAAAGAGCGACATTCAGTATATTTATTGTAAAAGCTGTAAGAATGTTATACAGAAATTTCAAAATAATAGTTATAAAAGCAAACTGTGGGGGTATTCCCTTAGAAAGTTCTCCATGAAGGCATTCCTTCTGCTAGGCATATGGCCCTCAGGAGCTTTGCCAATTTCTAGTTACCAAACCATAGTTATTAACAAAAATTTAAATTATTAGAAACCATTGATTGATCAATGCTCTTGTTTAGATTTTATCAATTCTACTAGCTCTATTTTCAGTTAAATCTGAAGAACATCCTTAGTTGTTAAAAATTAGGAAAATATATAGGCATAGAGAAATGTAATCAATAATGATAAGTTCTATTAATCTTGCTGCAGGCAAAAAACAAACAACTTCCCTCAAAAAAAAAAAAAAAAAAAAAAAAAACTTCAGTGTGATCTGGGGGTTGCAGAGTAGTCATTTGCAATGTAGAGTGTAGTTTGTCTATTTCGCAGAGATTTCAGTATTTCACCTCAATCTTTAATAACTGATAGAACAATGAAAAAGTATTATATCTGTATTTTAATGAGTTATGTATGGTACATTAAAAGTTATTAAACGTTTTAAGTGCATGGAACATAAAAAATTATTATTTTTCATTTTGTTGTTGCTTATGCTCACTTGTCTGAAGTAGTCACAAAATTCCTCATAGCAAGAAGTGCTAGATTATGCCTGCTACTGGAACAGTCTTTAGCATCATTTAGGTGACAGTGCGCTTTAGCTTAGTTCCGCCCCCAATTTTGATGGAGAGCACTCTAAGGGGGACGTGTCGGAGGTTCTCCCACTCCTCTTCCCTTCCACCAAAACATGCGAGAGGACTTTTGGCTCGCCTCATATTTAGAGTGCTGGCCATGCCGCACCGACACTGTACATTTACGAACATCCATGTCTTCTCTGGGATTCGAACCCGGGCCCTTTGGCACCGCAGTCAGCGACTCTAACCGCTATAATGGTTGGGTGGCATTTTTCATTATAATTCTGATAAGCAACTGAACACCAGTTTGAAGCACAAAAATGTACTTATTATTTGAAATGTTTCAATTAAGTTTGAAAATATTTTACATAAGTAATATAATAAAAAAATTTTCAGGAAATTAACTGCCCCGATGACCTATATGAAGAAATTGTTGAAATTGAAGAGAGAATTGTGTTACAGCAAGATCAGTGTCAGATAAAAAAATCATGTCCTGTTTTGATTGGAACTACTGGTGAAAATGTAAGTAATCACTAGTGGACTATCAGTAATGGCCTTACAAGGCAAAATATTCTAAATTCTGTTTTGTCTGTTGTTACAATTAATTCCATGTAAATAAAACTGCATTTTAAAAATAATTATAATAATATATTAAAAAATACAACATCCCAATTGAGTGTTAATAGTACATTTGTATTCTTGCTGATCCCAATTTCAAAATAGAGAGTTTCTGCTGTTTTACTTACAAAGTCACACGAATGAAGCTTTATTTGTTTTTATAGATAGAAGTGTGGACGCCACTAAATGAGGAAAAATTAAGAAATGATTTGAAAAAGATTCTCGATAAGGGGATAAAAAGTTTAGCTGTAGTACTGATGCACTCTTACTTGTAAGTGTTTTGAAATAAAAATATTTTTTATTTATTTACTTATTTTGCTACAGAGGAGCAGAAAGGACCATTAAAAATTTGTTCTAGGTTTATTTTTTATTTTTTTTTATTTTTTTAAGGATACTGATGGATGATATAATTTAAACATCAAAGTAAATAAGCATCTAAACTTATTCACATTTTGTAGCTCAAATTTCATTTTAAAGACCCTGAAGCAGAAGAGGTTTGTCATAAAACATCTGAGGATAAAAAAATTTTCTTTTTTCGTTAAAAGAACTGTAGAGTCGGTGTGTTCTTTGTTGACTCTACATAGAAGACAAAGTAGTGAATACTCACTATGTCTTTGAAGAATAAGTACTGCAGAAGGTTTAAATAAACTTTTTATTTGAACCAAAATAAACAGATGCATGCACTTGGTGCTCACAATTCACAACCACTTGTGGTTAACTTAAATTTAATAGAAGACAAAAATGTAACAAATCCTTTGCTTAACTAATGCTAAATCAGCTGAAAATAGCAAAGCTGAGCCCAGGAATAGCAGTATAAATCTGATGAGTGTCTAACAATGACTAATAGAGCTAATTTCAAACATGCAGCAAAACTCAGAACTAACTCTGCGGCTACTCTTTACGAACTTGAGAAACTCAGCTTAAATATGGCTTCTGAAACACTTTTAGATTAGCATACTACTACATCATTAAAAATTTACATTCCGGCAGGAAACTAAAATCAGGAGGGATAGGAAAGGAAAACTTAAAATAAATCCTTACAGAACAGTATGGAATTAAGAGGCCAATATGGAAAGTTTATCCAAGCTAATGTGAGAATTGTATATTCATATATATATAAGTGTGTTGTGCAGTTTTATATAAATATTATATACAGTACACTCCCGATTATCCGCGGAATTGGGTGGCGCAACTGCTGCTGATAATAAAAATCGCGGATAATCCGAAAAAAGCTAAAAATGGGTATAGGAAAAGAGAAAACAGTTATTCCAATTTTGAAAAATGTATATGTACAATAAAATGTAAGATAAACAGCAGGAAATGTTTAACTAACACTTAATATTTTAGTATATCACTCAAAACTAACCTAAAATGCATTTTGTTAATGAAAACAGAGAAGTGCTTTGTACTTACGAGAGGCGTCAAGAATACACAGAAAAATTAAAACATATGTACTGTTTTAATAATGCAATGTATTATGTAATTACAAAAGCATAACTGTAAAATCAGTAAGATTAAGTAAGACGTATCAGTAAGATTAAGACGAGAGAGGGCCGTGGAGTGGGCACTGCAAGAGTGAGTAAGAAATCACTTACTCATCAGAGGGGAAGGTTCCGAGAAGGCCTGGGATATTTTTGCCATAAATAAGCATGATGTTTAGCAAATTTGTTTCGCTCAGTTTTGTGAACATTTTTATTTTCTTTGCTTTACGCTTTTAAAAAAAAAACTTTGTGCGGCAGGCGCAGATAATCCGCTCCGCGCATAATCCGCCTGCGGATAATCAGGAGTCTACTGTATTACATAAAATTAAAAAATGTATAATGCATGCCCATATGTGTAATTTCTAAATAAACTTTTGAAATAAGTCCTGTAGAATAATTTTGAGCAGTTGAAAACTTACAGGGTGTCCCAGAATTCTTTCCCTGATTACAAATATTCGTAAGGCACAAAATATGACACATAAACAAATTTTTTTAAATTTCGAATTGCATGTAACATATTCAAGTTTTGGTGTGCATACGTATTGTTACTTTCTTTGTTGGATTACAATGCTCATTATGACATTATACTCATTATGTTGCCATGCTGTCTGAGATCTTAAACATGTCCTTTTCTCAGATGAGGCCACATTTCATTTGAATGGTAGTGTCAGCTGACACATTGCTAGAATCTGGGGGGTGCAAGATTTTCCACGATGTGTTTAAGATCATCAGAGACAACCCTAAGCTGAATATGTGGTGCAGTCTTATGCACAGTAAAAACATAGGACCTTTTTTCTTCAATGAAAAGATGATCACAGTCAATACCTACCTTGATATGTTGCAGTTATTGTTGTGTTTCAGATTCAGGACATTCCAGACTTAATTTTCCAACAAGCTGGTGGGTCACCTTATTGGGGATTAGATGTCCATGCCTTTACAAAATTTCTGGGAAGATGGATTGGCTGTGATGGTCCCGTAAACTGGCCTTCACGATCACCAGACAACACCACTGAATTTCTTCCTTTGGGGAAGGACCAGGCCAAGGACCAGGTTTACTAGAAGATCCATCCCTTATGTAATATTCACCAACACATGGATGGAATTGGAATATTGCTTGGATATCCTTCTGGGAATGAAAGAATCACATGTAGTAATTTATTAATTGTGTACACTAAAACTTGAATATGTTACATGCAATTCAAGCTTAAAAGTATGTGTCAATGTGCCATATTTTATGCCTTATGAGTATTTGTAATCAGGGAAAGAATTCTAGGACACCCTGTATTTAGAATGATGCAAAACATTCATTGTTAGCTTTTATGGACAACTTGTCTTTTTCATTAGCTGAAATTGGAATAGCATGGCCATTCTATTCTTTTCCTCCCTTCATCTGTGGGTTAAGTTCCTCTGTGTTTAAATTTCTGCATTTCAAATAACCTTAAGGCGTGTTGGAACCCAGAAATCTTCAAAAAATGCTGATTTCAGATTTTTGCATTTTCAAATTCTCTACACTTTTATCTTTCTAAAAATACCATTCTTTAATATCTATGAAAATTAGAACTGTAAAAAATCTAGTTTTAATTTGTAATTGACTGCTTTGATAAATGAGGATTTTTACATAAAAAGTTTTTTCTCCAAACGTGATTTTTTTATACTTGATGTACCTTTTCTCAGGAACGCACACAGCTCGCAGGTATCTAAACTTTTTTTGACTTATTTATTAGGTCTCCTAATATTTATTGAAATGAGCTTTTCTTGATAAACTAAGAAAAAAAAAAAAAAAATTGAAAAGAATTTTTTGTATGAGAAAAAGAACTAAATTTTACTATGCCTAACAAAGTGTCCTGTAAATTACTCTAAAATTCAAAATGTTTCAAAAGCTCATTTCAGTATAATCAAGTAGGTATACTTTAATTATACAAAAAATTTCAAGTGTGTATCTACAGCAGATTTTGAAAAAATGTACATCGAAAATGGCCACTTTATTATTGTTGGTATAGGACTTGCTGATACCCTTTAAAAACCAGAGAAACTACTAATCACCAAGGTTATGCTGCAATAGTTTATGAGAAATAAAATTTGTTTGCTTTTGTTCCTTGCTTATTGCATTTCAGATTTCCTGATCATGAGATGTACATTGGGAAAATTGCAAAAGATATGGGCTTTCATCATGTGTCTTTATCATCAGAAGTAATGCCTATGGTTCGAATGGTGCCACGAGGCCATACAGGTAAAAAGCTATTTTTCTGTATTTTTTTATTTCTAGTCAAGTTTTATTATCTAAATATATATATATATTTTTTAACAGCTTGTGTAGATGCTTATTTAACGCCATGCATTAAAAGATATGTTGAAAATTTTTCTGCTGGCTTTCAGAATAAACTGGAGGTATGTCCGATTGCTTTTTTAAAACATTTTTGAGAATGTATACATCGTATATTCTGGCATATAATGCACACTTTTAATACAAGAAATAGGACTAAATTTCACTGGTGAGTGTTATACGCCGGACATCAAAATGAGAGCTTAAAAATAAGGGGAAAAAACTAGACTTTTACATGCACCAAAATGTTTCTTATTTGAAAGAAATGTCATACCTTTTTAACCCTTTGATAGTTATGAACGTGTTCAGCTCGCAATTGAATCATGCTTCATAATGTGCGCAAACGAGTTCCGCTCGGGAGCAAGATTTCGACCGAAATGGAGCTGATACTTTCGACTACTGTTTACTCGTAATACTGCGCAAATTCAATAAATGAAAATGATCATTTTCCTAACCGTCAAAGGGTTAAATTGAACATTTTCATTATATGTTAACATGCAGAGTTCGTCTTATGTTATATCTTCAGGCATTTCATCGAGTTTTGCTTCATGCTCATTATCATTTTGATCCATAAAAAAATAATCATTATCTGTTCCATCTTTCACCAACACCAAATAGCCTTGCTGCAGCACAATTTCCATTTTCTTTAACGCAAAATGAATGGCTTTGCATTTGAAACCAGCACTGTGTTTATTTCTTCTCACAGGAACCATATTTACTTCTGAAAGTAGCACTAGATCAACCATATTTCAACTAAAGCAAATGCGATTTACTAAAGCCTTTGATTTTCACTTAAGCCTTTGATTTTCACTTCAAAATCTCAGCTTCAAATGACTACAGAAAGAGAAAAGTGTTTTACAATAGCATTCTTTTGGACATTTGCATTGAATACAGTCTACCTTATTTGCCAGAATATTTACTCTCTCAAGGATTTAACCCACACACATATTGTTCCGGTTACCGCTTGCCAGTGTGGTTTACCATTGTTCAAAAGGTTGGGACGAATGTTTGAATAAGTGACCTCAAAAGATAAGAGCATTGCACATGTATCTTTTAGGTTTCTTCATTAAGAATTGGGTGAGCATTATACGGCAAATATACCTAAAAATTAAAAAAAAAAAAAAGTAGCTTGAAATTATAGATGCGTGTTCTACACTGGTGTGCATTATACACTGGAAAATGCAGTATATATATATATATATATATGTACATTTATTTATTATAGTGAATTTATTCTTAAACTTTCTCCACATCAGGGAGTGGGGAAAACTTGGGGAAAAATACTTTGAATCTTTAAATTGTTCTAAAGAAATTTGATTAAATAATCTGTTTTTTTTTTTTTTTTTTTTTTTTTTTTAGGGTGTGAATGTGTTTATTTATGCAATCAGATGGAGGATTAACGCCCATGAGCTTGTGAGTATTAGAATGAGCTCAATAATATTATGACTTTGTTAAAGTTAGGGATACAAATTTGTTTATATGACATCGAATCAAGTTTCTGTTCATCTACAGTACTGTCTCTAACCTGTTTTTAAGCTGATAGTTGTAAACAACTTAAAAACAGTTATTTTCTTGTTTAAGGGAAATTTAAATTACTCAACTTGCATTAATAGCTACAGTGCAGTTTGTATATACTTTTTATATTAATATTTTTATGTATTCTGTGTAGGTTCTGTGGTTCTCGAGCAATATTATCTGGTCCTGCTGGTGGTGTTGTTGGTTATAGCAAAACTACATATAATAAAATTTCTAGTCTACCTGTTATTGGATTTGATATGGGTGGTAAGTTAACTTAAAATCTTTCTTTTTTTTTTAAAAAAAAAAAAAAAAAAAAAAAAAAAAAAAAAGCTATTTCAGACAGAAAATATTTCTACGATTTGAAAACTGGCTTGAGAAATGTGTTTACTTTTCATGTATTTCACAAAGCAGTGTGTTTTGAAAACATTACTTATACACATTTATTAAGTATTTTTTTAAAACAGATTATTAAAACTGTATGAGCTGAATAATACTGAGTGCAGTTATTCTAAATATTTGGTTTATTAATAATGAATACAAGTATTTTTTTCAGTACACTTGAACTTTACTACAGGGTGTTTCACTCAAAAGAGGCCCCATGAAAAGTATGATAAAAATCTTACAATAAAAGGAAACGAAACCAACTTTTTACATGACATACCTTTATGTTTGAAAAATGGAAGTGCATTAAAAGAGGTGCTGGAAGTGATCTTCCCTACCTGTTCACACAGTTAAACATGGCGCTGCATGTTCGTGTTATGTTGCTGCCAGAGCATTGGGTATCATTCCTTGGATTTCACAATAGATGTTCTGATGCAAATCATTGATGTGCATGGTTTGTGCTTCTACATATACCCAGTGCTTAAATTGCGCCAGTACTTCTCAATTTTTAAGATAAATGACTATTCTAGCCGAAGCCGTAAATAAGATGAGCTCGGGTACTTCTTTTTATAAAACTGAGCCACAATTTCAATGAAAAAAAAAAAAAAAAAAAAAAAAAAAAAAATTAGACTTCCTAACATTTTAGTTTAACAATAAGCAGACCTTGCAATACTCTTATTTCCCTAGAAATACGACCTCATGAGAACATGAGACGTTCAAGTAACGTCCTCTCACTCACATGTGGAAACCTTTCCCTTTAAGAAGGGCAATAAATTTTGGGGAGTTGGTTTAGGAATACATAAATTTTTCATCATGCCATCGTATCTAGTGTATTGTTATCAATGGTTACAGTTAGTTATCCTCTCAGGAAGGAAACTTTGTGTTCTTAAATGTGCATTAAGTGATAGCGAGTATAATAAGAGTGAAATACTGAGATAAACTGCTCAAGCACATCCTATACATCATCTTCCCACAGTATCCACTGATATAACCAACTACAGGGGGAGAAAAGTGTAACCAGCAACTTTACATTCATTCTTAGGAGTCAGATTCAGGACTCATTTTACCCCTGACACACATCTGTTTGATAGCTATGATTATATCCACAGAGAGCTGCAGTTAAAGAGAACATTCTCTTTCATCAAGATTTCCCTCATTTTTTGTTTCTACCCATCCATACCCTCGCGCTCTCATTCTGTTTCATCCTGTTTTTAGCATTACCTGAAGTTTTATCATCTATGCTTTAAGTATATATAATTTTTGCGCTGATAAAAGAGTGTTTTTTCTTCCTACGATCAGAGCTTTGGGCAGGAGCTTCTTAGTTTTTCTAATAAATCATAATTCTAGCCGGAGCGCACTGAAGCCCTAAATAAAAATGCTGCAGCACTTTTTTTATGTAACTGAATAACTATTTCAGTAGAAATTTTATCTCGAAAATTTTATTTTTAGCAATAAAATTATATTGAAAATAGCGTATTCAATTTTAATTTATCTCTTTACATTTAATTTAATTTTAATTATTTAATTATTTAATCTTTAATTGTTTAGTTATTTCAATAAAATATAATTATTTAATTATCTAATAATTATCAATTAAATTATAATTAATTATATAATAATTATTGATAAAAACAATAAATAAACATTAATTAAATAGCTATTTAATTAATTTGATAATAATTAACTATTTAATTTTAAAATTATTAATGAGTTTAACAGTCATTTTATTTATTTATTTACTCTTGTTCCTCTTTGCTCATGGTCTTCCATAGGGCTCTGGCACTTCTAATTTTAGAACCTAAGCCCTGGTATTTCCTTTAAGACAACCCCATATATATATAAAATACCTGAAGGGAGATCAAGTCTGGAAAAGTGATTCCACGACATTCATATTCGCTGCAGATGTATGGCATGTTGCCCCATCTTACTGGTAAGCCAAGTGGCAGCTCCTCATCATCCAAATGGTTCACAAATTCATGAAAAAATGCCTGGCACACTTCACTGTGTGGTGGTGTGCACTACTAGCAAGAGTTGTAATGTGACAATCTATCCAAATATCTATCTAGAAATCCTTAATTAATTTACATGTGCCCAAATATTTACTGGCCTGAATTCTTAGTGAGCGTACATTGCAAATTAAACCCTAGCATCAAGAATAATTAAATATTTCACTTACCCAATAACCCACATGCATGAGACTTGCGGAGACACATTTCTTTTTCTAATCTCACATTTATTTTATCAAAACACATTTTCTGTATTGAATATGGAACACTTATCACACACATATAAAATATCAAAATATCATAACTTAGAACACAAAAACGTGAGAACCTAAAATGGAATAGTAAACAAAAGCAGAACACATGTCCGTTAGCTAACACATCAAATTCAGTCACATCTCACTTATATGTAGTCGAAATTTTCTCATATTAATTTCGTCAGTGCCCTCATCTTTGTAGTACACGGGCAAGATCTTTTTTTTTCACTCACTTTTCATTAACACACTTAACATCATCACGTGGTGACACACTGCTGGTAATGCACATTCTGGAGTCGAACACGTATTGATAATCTGCTTGAGGTGTTTTAGAATGTTACCGTGGCAGATGGATTTTTAAGCTGAGCATTTTCATCTAAATATATTGCAACCTTGTGTTCTGCTTCTTTTTATGCAAAAATACGATGACATTCCATGTGCGACTATCAGGCCTGATGGAACTCCATCAGTGAGATATGCAGGGGCAGAGCCCCACACATCATGCAACTCGCTGATTGCCAAGCGACAGCAGGTAGGATACGGGAGAAGAAGGGAAGAAGCCAGTCTGACCGGTGCTTATATACACATGTGCAGTTCCATGATTAAGATTAAAATTGTGATGCTGGCAAACTGCGTGGTGTGAGAAATTACTATTCTCACACACTGGTAACAATAATGTAAAAAAATTGGCCCTGTGATGCACCGCTGTGGTAATGCACAAAGCACACCCATCTTCTGTGGATGAAAGGGTTCCTCAATGTGTTTTCATTAGTTCACATATTCTGACAGGGGGAACCACACTTCATCACTTTACTATGTGTAATCTGGGAGCAACACGCATGAAAATGCAACTCTGTGTTGAACTCTGTATACAGGTAGGAGGAGGTCACTTCCAACACCTTTTCTAAATGCACTTTCATTTCTCAAACTTAAAGACATGTTATGTAAAAAATTGGTTTCATTTCTTTCTGGTGTAAGATTTTTATCATACTTTTCCTGGGTCCTCTTTTGAGTGGAACACCCTGCATAAAGCTTTGAAAAGGTACTAGGTAATTCACAAAGAATTGTGTAATTTCAAAGTCTTATCATTTAAAAGATTAACAGCACAGAATAATAAGTAAACTTAAATGTAATGGGAAAATGTCCAAATTTTATTCCTTATGATTTCCATTTATTACATGTATAGCAGTAGTATTAACGGAAGACGTGGGCACCATCCCTCTATTATTGCGGTTAATCAATTCTGCCCACGTCCACCCTTGTCTAGTATTTATTAATAACTCTAGAATTTTTACATTGCCACATATTGTGGCTGATTTACAAATAAAGTCTACGCAATAATTGTATTCGCATTAATATCATAACTTATTACATGAATTTTGGTTGGAGAATTTTTTCTAATGAATTTTTTCTTTTGTAATTTCTCTTTATTTTTAAGCAGTCTATATATTATTTCTTTATCGTGAAATTTCTCTTTTGTTATTTGCACTATTTCAACTAGAATGTTGTCTAAGTTCTCTTGCAAAATTCCTTTCATTTTGCTGTAGTTCTTACATGAGTTTCTCAGTTTCAAGGTTTCTATTGTATTCCTCATATTATACCTTATATATTGTGCTAATGTCTTCCAGAATAGCACTTTTCTTTCCAAAGTTTTTCGTCTTTTTCTTTTGTGTGTTGCTGAATCCTATCTCTCTTTGATCACACCGAAACAATATCAGTATGCTTTCTTGTAACTTGATTTTAAAGTTTATAATATCTTTATGACGATTTAGCAACAAATGTGTCATGTTTTCATAATCGCAAAAAGTCAGTATTTGTTGTAATTTGAATACATGTACATATTAAATGCATGTACATTTTAAATATAAAATGTATGATACTTTTTGCTAGAAATTAATCACTTTTTCAGATGAAAAGCACTGCTGTTTATTTCCTTTATTCTATTATAGATTGCATTTACTACTTTACTCCTTTATTTATTATACTATTATATCTTTATTTTAATTTGTTATATGAAATTATATTACTTGGCATAAATACTATGTGCCCAATTTTGTTAAGATGTCCATTGTTTTTGTGATTTTTTGCACTATGTATTTTTGTTTTACTAAGAATTTACTAAAAGCATGAATATTTGTTGTTGTCATTTTAATATGAAAATCTTTAGTGAGTGGACAATTAGTAATGTAATGTTTAGGCGTTCCCAGCTGGCCGCAAATACAAGTACTTGTGTTTGAAATACCAAATCTTTCGAAATATTCAGGAAAGATCCGTGACCTGAAACAAAGTGCACTAATTGTGGGTTTGTAATCAGTTGTCGTGGCTTTACTTTGGCAAAGTGTTGATGCCATCTTTTACATGTATTCTTTTGTTACATATATAAAGGAATGTAAAAATTACAGCAAACATGTTCCATTTTTCCAATAATATGATTCTATTCCGTGTGAGCTTACATGGCACAAGCACCTGGTATTATACATTCATCTAAAAGAAGTCGTCGCATTAGCTGGTATCTGGAGATCTAGGCTCTTGAAGACTATTTCTATCTTTTTCTCTGCATTTAACCAACATTGTGCAAATAAAAATATGTAAAAAGCTTCCTGTTGTTTAGACATTTTTATTTTTTCTCAAAAAGAATGTTTTAATTGACAAACTAGCATCTTTATTATTAGTGTATTAAAACTTAGGTATTCCTGTATTATTCACATAATATTTATCATTCTATTTTGTTAATTCTTAAAATTAAAAAAAAGTAATTCAAACTTCTTTCTGAATTATTTTGTATATAGCATAATTTTATGTACAAAAATGCAATAAAATGAAAGGAAGCTAATGTTTAAGTTAGATATGTAGAAAGTGTGCATCAGATATACAGAATCAGTATGCATCAGATATATAGAATAGATCTTAAAAGAAAAGAATGTATTATTGAAATGTGGACTATGAAAATGCAAGGTATACATGTATTGAAGTATTCAGTAAATTGTACAGTCATCTGTGTAATGATGAACATTCGATTTCTTATGAGGCCCACCAGCGGCCGAGCGGTAAAGTCGCTGAACACTGGTAGTTCAGTCCAAGGTTCGAATCCCGCAAACGGGCTGGCTGCATGGGCGTTTTCGTGGTTTTCCCCATGTGTAACATGTATACGAGCCAGTTTCCCTCAGAAAATCCTCCACGAAGGCATCCCTACCCTTAGGCAGATAGCCCTAGTGTGCTTTGCCATAATTAAATACACCACACCATCGATTTCTTATGTAACAAAAACAAAGTATTCTCACTGTTTCAACTTTCTAATCACTGAAGAAAATACAATTCAGTTGAGTTTTGTTACTTAAAAATATAAGATAAAAAACCTTCCAATGTAAAATCTGCCTGAAATCTTTGCACCCTTTCAAATATCAGTAGTGAAATGCAGATGTCTGTGGTGATTTTTGGTGAGATGTAGACTAATTATTGACAACAAGTTTCCTTTTAGTGTTGAAGCAAGTTACCATATTCTGATGATAATCACTTTATAACTATTGGCAAATAATTGTTTTATCAGGAATCACAGTACTTGCAACTCAAAAGAATCTCTGAGGTGTTTTATTTTAGCAATATTTCAGTACTTATAAGTTTGGTTGTCTTCCATTTAGTGAGCAGCAGCCAAAATTATGCCCAACCATGGCAAGGATAGCAACCTTATCCTAAAATTTATAATGATGTAGTTCTTACTTTTATGATTTGCCATGTTTTATTCTAGACACATATTTTTGTGTTAGATGTTGATGAAAGAACTGAGGTGGATTTTATGTTTTGACAGTTGTATGGTAAAGTATGTGTGATTAAATTCTTTTGAGAAAGTTATTATTCACAGTAAAAGGCTTGAAAAACTACAGTTATATATTTTAAGCTGCTTAAAATTTTGGAGTTTGTTTCTTCCACATATGGTTGAATTTATAATGATCTGGTGGGCTACTGATGTGAGGTGTAACAGAAAAACTTTAATAAATACATATAAAATGTACATTCAACCATTATTTTATTACTGTAATGAAGTTATGGTGACTGCTTCCATCAGTATAGTTGACTTGTTGGCAAGATTACAAAATCTCTTCACCTAGTAACAGGTCCAGTTAACTCCACCCCCATAGTGGCTATTGGAGCATTAACCAATATTTCTCCTGTCATGCATGACATTCGTAAAAATGCTGCAGTTTGTTTAAAAAGCTTTGCAGGCCCCCAAATAATAAATATTGGAGGAATTACAATTTTAACAATGATCGAAATTTAAAGACACCAGTGGGTCTTTAAATTGGTTATCAATTATCAGAAGACCCCTAGACCTTGTTCGAGAAATGAATGTGGCTTCGTATTCTCTTGAATACGGGAACTTCTGTGTATATCTTAAACTTGACGAGAAAATTTATAAGAGTGAGGTGCCCACCATCCAAATCACAGTCATTGCTTATGAAACTATTGAGAGAAGATGTTGCAACAACCTATGGACCCATGTTTACACCAATGGATCCATGATTGAGCGAGGTACTGTAGCTATTGAAGGAATCTATTATAACTATTTTGCATTCTATAAGGCAGTGGGAAGAGATACTACAAATTTTGATGGTGAAGTTGAAACTATATTTATTGCTCTAAATCGATTAAATGCTCGGAAGAGTAATTTACCTCGGGCTGTCATTTTTGTCCCATAGCAAAACTGGTTTGCATGTTATCTCTAGCAATAAAATTTGCATTTCCAAATGAATTTACAAATGTAGAAAGATTCTCAAAACTCTGGCTGACTCAGTTGTCTTGCAGTGGATTTCTGCTCATTGTGGCATCGAGGGGAATGAAAGAGCCGATTTCCTGGCAACAAAAGGAATGACTAATAACCATATGACTTATAACTCTGCAAAACTCCTAATTAAATTAGAATTTATGAGGAGGTTTGCCTCCTACCTATCAAATGAAGCTATAAAGTATTTCTTCTGTTTTCTTAGCATGCCTTCCTGATGTAATGGCCAGCACACTCGGTGTATATTCGAGAGGTCCGAGGTTTGAGTCCCTGCAAAGGCATTGCTCACTTTTCACATCTCCTGCTTCGAAATAACCTAATGTCTCTACAGTGGTACCCAAACTAAAAAAAGGTGGTGGATGATGATTTTCCACCACCAGGATTTGGCGATTGGGTCTCCTTATCCCCAGTTGCCCTTTAAAAGAGGGAGTATATAAGGTGTTTCTCTCTCCTTCTTAGCATGCCTTCGTGGTGTAGTGGCCAGCACACTCGGCGCGTATTTGAGAGTTCCGAGATTCGATTCCCGGCTAAGGCATTGTTCGTTTTTCATCTTTTCTGTTTAGAAATAACCCAATGTTTCTACATAGCCAAGGGAAAGGTCTGGGAATGTCTCACTAGTTTAAAGCCAGTTATTCCAGATTTTCTTTGTCATGTAACCGTGGAGTTATTTCATCTTTTAATTGGGCATGATTATTTGAATGCCCAGCCTTTTAAAATTTGACTTAAGGCCTCTTCAGTCTGTACTTTTTGTGTAACTCTGGACTGTCCATGGATAAGGACCATGCTGACGAATGCATTGCACTATTATCTTTTAATTCTATTGGTCTTGAGAAGCAAGATCAATGGCTTAGTGGTTAAATGTCTGGCATTTGTATAAATAAATAAGTAATTTGAGCTGCATTTGGTGTTAAGTGTTCTGTTAAAAGTGTTATTACTATTTCCACTGCATATCACATCAACATTTATGTTGGGCAATAACAGTGCTAACAAAATTTTTCTTTATTGAAAAGTACCAGAATTTCAATTCTGTTAGAATTGATCTAAAAATAGTATCCTTTTGATGTATCAGAATGGCAAGTTCTGAATAAACTCAAGATTTTCTTGCATGTATTAATGAAAAAATGAATTTAGAGCAGCTAAGCTGTGTGACTGGTCAAGAAATGATGACACTGTATAATTTCTAAGGATAAAAATTCAGATTAAAACATTTTAAAGTTTTAAAGCAAACTACTATGTATAAAGTATTTTCACCCTCCTTTCTGCATGCCTTTGTGGTGTAACAATAGCACACTCGGCACATATTCAAAGAGGTGCAGGTTCATGTCCTGGCGAGGCATTGCACATTTTTCAAGTCTCCTGTTCCCCTCCCTCCGCCCCAAAAAAACACACTAATAGATCTACAGTGGCACCCGAACTAAAAAAGGGTAGTGAATAATGATTCTCCATGACTAAAATTTGGTGATTATGTCCCCTGATCCTCGGCACCATTTTAAAAGGGGGAGTATATAAGGTATTTTCTCCCTCCTGTCTGCATGTCTTTTTTTGTATAATGGTAGCACTCTTGGCATTATTATATTAAAATATTTAGTAAATAGATTAAAATACCAAGAGAGAAGAAAAATTTGCCATAGTAAAACATAAAATTAGGAAAAGCAACAACCTGTATGTGGCATAGATTTTGGTTCTGCAGTGTGGCAGATTTCTTTGCTCCTGATGTTGAGGAACCTGTACCTGTTGCCTTCAAAGTTGATAGAGTCTTAACTAAAATCGAAGCCAAACACTGTTGCTTTGCAGAATATTATATTAAAATATACTTAATACATATATTAAAATATTAAAATGAATGTATTATTAAATTATTATTAAATATAAATTAAAACATATTTAATGCACAAGTACTTATACAATTTTAGCATCTTTATTTGTTACAGATGAGAAAAAGAATGGCGACTTATAATTGCAAAAATTGTTTATTAAATGCATGCGTATTTTATATTTTAATTAAGTGTTTATCCCCAAAATTGATGGTTAAACTTATTTACAAATGAATATTTCTTTTTTTTCTTCTGGTGAAAATTTCATGACATTTTAAGAATAGATTCAAAGCAGTTTTTTCTTTTTAACAATTTTGCTGCAAGATAATGAAATTTTATTGCAGTTTCTTTCACTTTAAGCAAATCCCATTAATGCGTATTTTAAAATTAAGACCAAAAAATTAACAATTTGTGGCAACTATGAAAACTGTTGGAATTTGAAACACAATAATGCTTATGAAAATGATTACATTTTTTTAAAAAAAAATTAAGAACCATTATGTGCATGGTTACCAGATTTAGGCATTGTCTACTAAGGTGGTTATGCTGTACAGAAGTTTCCTTATTTCCTTATAAAAATGTCAAAAAGATACTAACTGCTTTAATTTGGCTTTTTTTAAAATGCATATTCATTTATTCTTACTTTAAATCTAAATCTAGTGATTTTATAACTTGAAATGCATAAAACTTTAAAATCCTCATGACCTCAGGGTCCAAGCTGTGCGAATTTTCAGTCCCTTTTTGTATTGCTAGAATAATATGTTTTATTCTGTGCAATGAAGAGGCAAGTATTCACACATTAATATGATGACCTCCTTTTGTTTAGAATAATATGATTATTGAGAAACTCTACGAAATGTTTTGCTCATTCATAAATTTTGTTTAGGAACTTCTACTGATGTGAGCAGATATGATGGTCGCTATGATCACGTGTATGACACAACAGTTGCTGGTGTTAGTGTGCAGGCACCACAGGTTTGTTTTCAGCTGTTTTTGCTGTAGTAGTAGTAGTGTTAAAGTAAATGTAAAAATCATGTAAAGAACAGAAATGAAAAAATTTTGATCTGAAAATAAATTTATATGGCTGTCTTTAACAATTTGATAGTTTGTCAATTTATTTATTTTATTGCTTTTTAAGCTTGACATTAACACAGTTGCAGCTGGAGGTGGATCTATGCTATTCTTCAGATCTGGTCTTTTAGTTGTAGGTCCAGAATCTGCTGGTGCCCATCCAGGACCTGTTTGTTACAGAAAAGGTGGGACATTAATAAATTTCAAAGTTGATTTTGAAAGCTCTCCAATTAGAATATTGGGTTCTCTGAAAAGTCATGACGCATGTTTCTTATTACTATTCAACTTTAACCAGATCAACTCTCAGGTAGTACATTGTGGAGAGGTTGGCAGTTAGGAGATAAAACACACAGAAACTAATGAGAACATTGTTTTGCATGGGACATTAATAAATTTAAAAGTTGAGACATTAATGAATTTCAAAGTTGGTTTTGAAAGCTCTCCAATTAGAATATTGGGTTGCCTGAAAAGTCATGATGCATGTTTCTTATTACTATTCAACTTTAACCAGATCAAGTCAACTCTCATAGGTGGTGCATTGTGGAGAGGTTGGCAGTTAGGAGATAAAACATGCAGAAACTAATGGGAACATTGTTTTGCTTATTGAGACAAGTTTCTAATTGTTAGAAAACATGCTTAAGAAGAAGGAAATTGATATAAATTAGCCAAAATGTCTGGGCAGGCCTTTAAATTAAAAAGACGCATAGTTATTTTGTTGAGTTTTATGTTTTGTAGCTTTTAATGTGTAATTATCCTAATATTTTTTAAAAATCAATGTCATAAATTGCATATCTTTTAAACTGTTAAATTTTATGAGATTATAATATTAATAGGGTTTTTAACAAATATTATTAAAAAATAAATTTAATTTAATAGTGGCCTTGTAAATCCATAATAACTAAGGTTATCTAATACCTAATTTAATTATAACTAAATGCATTATCTTAAAAATTATCTCTCTATATTAAAGCAAGTTATTGCCTTTTGTTAACACGCTAAGCCCGGCGTCGGTCCCTGGGAACCGGCACTGGAATTTTCGTTTGGCTGCCGTCGATCCGTGGGACCGACAGCATTAAAGTTAAAAAATAAGTATAGTCTCAATGAAATGAGATCAAATGTAGTTTTAATGAAATTTATTGAAACATTCTAAACAAAAATGCGGCTTAGCTTTACACATATTACAATACGAAACAACTATTTTGGTAACATTTTTGGCTATCTTGCATCCCAAATAGTTTTGAATTGTCATCATAACATTTTGAACAATACTTTTGGACTTTATATCCTTCCTTTTTGTATAATTTATGAATAATTTAAGTCGGCAATATTGCACCGCTTGATTTCAATATTGCCACCGGCTGAACAGAAAGGACAGCAAATTCTGCGCTGGGCTCAACGTGTTAAATCTTTACCGTGGTCACAAGGTAAAACACAAAAATATAAAAATTCATGTGAAACTTATTCTTTGCATCTAGTAAGACTTAATGCAAAACAACTTATCACCGCTAATGCTTTAGTGGCTTAATAGAACCTTAAAGTATATTAACTGAGTTACAACCCCTGGAACTCTACACGAAGCTACGACACTAACAGCATCAGACAGTTTTCAAGTTTTGAAAGTTAGCTGACCTCTAGACTGAGTAGACACTAACAGCATCAGACTCAGTCTAGAGGTCAGCTAACTTTCAAAACTTGCTAACTGTGCCTACATCAGGCCTTTCAGGTTTGTTCTGATGAGCAGGTCTCTCTCTAGGCAAGCAGAATCGGTGACAACAGCCAGTCTTTTGTTATGAATCATGCTGATTATGATTTTAATGCTCATTTAAAATATTTTATGCTACTTGATAAATTTCATAAAATTAATTTTATTCTCAAACATATTAATAATTATGTTATGTTTAATAACAATGCATCCTACTCACGTTCAGGCATAGATATAATATTTTTAATTGAATTATTCAGTTCCCATTGGCTCATAGGTCCTTAATTTTTTCATTAATGGTCCTTAAAAGTACTTAATTTCCTTGTGCAGAAATGTGTACGAACCCTGTAAAAGGAACAATGAGCAGTCGATAGTACATTGCCCCTTTTGTTCAATAAATGTTTGCTTTCTTTTATGATAATGAGCTTCACTAATCCTCATTATCACAAAAGAGCCTAGTTTTATTTGGGAGAAAAGGTGAACAAGGTGCCGATTTATGGTTTTGTCTAAATTGAATGTTATACTCCGAAAGAAATTTTGAAGAAAGCGAAGCTAGTGAAAATTTTAAGAAACAAGATCAAGCAAATATCATATGTGTGGCAACACTTTTCATGCAAAATCCAATTATTTTTTTCAGGTGATCAAACTTGTTTGTGGTCTCGCGTTATCGGGATGGAATGCAGTTCCTATATGATTCATGAGCTCCGGAAGTTTCTGGAAGATAGATTCATTGAAACTGTCCAGTTGGTGACAGCAAACATTCGAAATGATTTTTTGGCTAGTTAGTAGGAACTTGGAACCAAGACCACACCCAAATTTGATCACTGATAAATAAATTATTGGAGTATGGATGAAAAGTGTTGCCACATGTAACATACTCCCATGATCTCATGCCATCAGATTTTCACTTGTTTTGCTGTCTTCAAAATTTCTTTTGCAGTGTGCCATTCAAATCAAATTCAATGAAATTATAAAAGCTGTCCTTACTGTATTGATATCAAATTTTCTTTAAACCATCTCCTCGATTCTCCTGCTATTTTGGCCAAACTCTTCAGTATTGATATAGCTCCCCCGCACCAACTCCTCTATTCTTTGAAAATTATTAATGTTGCTGCAGCTGTTTTGGATACTTTTGGCCCTATTTGACTCCTCTGCACTCACGCCTTGGACAACAACATTCAAATCAAATGACACTGTCAATCAGCACTTTGTTTAGCTTTTCACCGATAAAGCCAGGTTCTTTTGTTAATGAGGAATTATAAAGCTTGTTAAAAGAAAGCAAACAGTTATCGAGCAAAAAGGACAATATACTGTTAACTGCTTATTGTTTCTTATATAAATAAAGGACCTTTGAAGAACATAAAAAAAGGCATGTCAGGAATTTTCAGACAAACCAATAAATAAGCCTTATTTGCCTTAATTTTAGTTAGATGCTTTTTAAATTTTAAGAAAATTTAAAATTGAATTTCTTCTCCAAACAGCAAAAATGTGTTGCTGTTTAATTTACTCTGTTTTTAAGATATGAAGTTTGGCAGACATCGGTCTGCCAAACTTCATATCTTAAAAAACAGAGTAATTTATTAGACACAGAAAAAACTATTGAGCATAATTAAAGGTAAAAATAAGGAAAGTAATTAATTTATTTTGAAATTTCTAAATTAACCCTTTCGTTGTGCTACAAGGACAGATATTTTGCATCTGGATTAATAGGCTTATTGGGATATACAAAATCAACTCTGTTTTTGAAATATAACCGTGGAAAAAACTACCAATTTTTGGCTATTTAAATCCTTTTGATCTTTGCCAAACTCTTATGATGAATGGTGCTGTACTGCAGAAATGAAGAGATTTTAGAAAGAATGGATTTTCTATTTATGTAAGAAAAAAGTGTAAAATAAATTGCTCTGTGTTTGACCAAACATTTCAAAATTGCCTCTTGATTGAATGAGCTAACATAATCTCAATGTATTACAAAAATGTTTACAAATGTTAAAATATATATATAATAATAGTAATAATAATAATTCAAATATTTTGTTAAGAACTTTGAAAAGGATTATTTTACATTGCAGTATTGCTTAAAAAACTGACATACTTATTGCCCCGTTTATTTTTTTACTTTTTTCAAATACATGTCTTGAGAAAAGCGTTATTCTTTAATAACTTCTTGGTGTTATTGTTTTATTCTTTTAAGGGGGACCTTTGACAGTTACTGATGCTAATCTTTGCCTTGGTCGACTTCAGCCAGATTTTTTCCCCAAGATATTTGGGGAAACAGAAGATTTACCTCTTGACAAAGCTGCAACTCTCAAAGCATTTGAAAAATTAACTAATGAGGTGTGTTACTAAAAGTACTTGGTATTATTTGGTTTTTGCAATTGTTGGTAACTATCTGTAATTTGATGGCCATTTTACAAATTTGATTCTAGAGTCTTTTACATCATTGGAAATTATTTGCATGCTATTATATTTTAAGAAAACATTTTTATTGTTAAAATAGTTAAAAACATTTTATTTGAGTTTATGTAAAAATGAAAGTGTGATTTGATTTAAAATTGACAAATTTAACCTTAGATTTTCATTGGTTTTAATTAGATTACCTCTTGACAAAGTTTCAATTCTCAAAGCATTTTAAAAATTAACTAATGAGGTGTATTAATAAAAATACTTGGTATTATTTGGTTTTTGCAGTTGTTGGTGACTATGTGTAATTTGATGGCCATTTCTAGAATCTTTTACATCATTGTAAATTATTTGCGTGCTATTATAATTTAGGAAAGTGTTTTTATTGTTGCTTAAATTTAAAAATACTTTTATCTGAATTTATGTAAAAATGAAAGCATGATTTGATTTAAAATTGGTAAAATTTAACCTTAGATTGTCATCAACTTTAATAAGATTATCTCTTGACAAAGCTTCAACTCTCAAAGCATTTCAAAAATTAACTAATGAGGTGTGTTAATAAAAATACTTAGTATTATTTGGTTTTTGAAGTTGTTGGTGAATGTGTGTTATTTGATGGCCATTAGAAATTTGATTTTAGAATCTTTTACATCATTGTAAATTATTTGCATGCTATTTTAATTTAGGAAAACATTTTTATTGTTGCTTAAATTTAAAAATAATAATTAAAAAAAAACTGTTATCAGAATTTATGTAAAAATGAAAGTATGATTTGATTTAAAATTGGTAAAATTTATCCTTAGATTGTCATTAATTTATAAGAAATGCATTTGAGGAAGTGCAGATGTTTTTCTTACGAAACATCTATTGAATAAATCAGCTAGAAAGCTAGTGATGCTCATTTTTAATTATAAAGGTGTGATCTGTTTACATGCTATTCCTTCAAAAGTTGCTTTAAATGTTACATATTATATATCAGTCCTGATATGCCTGTGGTAACACATATTTAGAAAGTGGTGATAGGAATTTGGATAGGATACAATGCATGCTAATGTCTATTTAATGAAAATTACCTTTATGTAATTAAAACTATTTCACAATTTGCTGGCAATTTTGATCTTACTATGTGTGACTTCAATTCAGATGGTAATATTATTTTAGCTGTGGAAAATTCAACAAAGCAGATTTTACAAAATGCCTTCACAACATGCTTTGAAAAGCTGCTAGTGAGTTGGAGTGTTGCATGTGAGGGAAGATTTATTTGAAAAAGAAAAACATATTTTTACTATAATTCTATATCTTGAATTTTTGAGTTTTACTGTCAGTTTTTATGATGCACTTTGTATATATAAAAAAAGTTTTTATTTTATTAACAGGTTTTAATTGTTTTTCATCACCATGGTGTATTTTATTTTTCACAGACTTAATTGACATAGGTGGATCCAAAAGTTTCTATGCTAACTCTGTTGACTAGGAAAAAAAAAATAAATAAATACCGAAGTTTGAGTATACTTTTTTTTTTTTTTTTTTTAAGGCCCAAAGGACATTATCCCAGGAGGGCTATTAATTTTGTTTTGAGATTTTGTGTTGAATCCCTATAAATGGCATATCACTTTTCAAATTGTTGCCAGCAAATATTATCGCCCTGTATTATACTTAAAGAAATTAAATAATGAAAAATCTGCATAAATGTAAGCATGTTTCTTGTGTTGTAATAAAACAATGGTACTTAGAGACATCAAATTTTGAATAATGTAGTTCTCCACTTGAGTAAAGGCATCTGGAAGCCCAAATTTTGAATTTGTTTTATTATCTATTTTATATTTTGTTAAACCTTTAACAAATTTTTAATTAAAAGCTAAATGATTTAACAGTGAGCAATGGTAACACTGTGCGGAACATTTTTATCTTTAGCTCACTGTATAGGGAATTCTAAAGATATACTCTTTTAAAATTATTTTGTGATACTGCTGTTGAATTGAATTTTATGGTATAAGTGCAAAGAACATGATATTTAATAGATAAAGGCAACACAAAAAATGTTTAAAAAAAGGGCCTGTTTGGGCATAATATAAAATCTGAAAACTTTCAGATTTTTTTTTGGAATGCGACCTCTGAGTCATTTTGCGCAAATGAGCCCAGAATGTGTTGCTCTTTATGCAGAGTCTTGGTAATGATGGGAAAATCATGACCTTTTGAGCTGAATCATTTTTTAGCTTTGAAAAGGAAAGAACTTGGCAGGAGCTTAGTCTGGCAAGTAGCATAAGTATGGATATGGAAGCATACTGTGTGTAATGAGAAACTCAGAAGTCAGAGGAGCTTTGTTAGTGTGCAAAATCCAATGCACATGCATCATGTTCAAGACATTAGGATTGACTCATACAATAACAGTATTTGCAGTATTGTTGATTATCGTTTGATGTTTGACACACAAAAATTCTGAATTCATCACACATTTTGGGAGGTAGTTCAAGTGAAAGTTCTTCTAAATTACTCCTCATCTTCAAGAGATAATTTTCTGCCTTTGAAGTGTCTGTGCAATTTGAAACATTGCATACAATTTATAAGATATCTTCTTCCTCCTTTTTGTATGCCTTCATGGTGTAATGGTTAGCACACTCGGCACATATTTGAGAGGTCCAGGTTTGAGTCAGGGTGAGGACATTGTTCATTTTTCATATACTCCTCCTGCAAAATAACCTAATGTCTCTACAGTGGTGCCCGGAGTAAAAAAAGGTGGTGGATGATGATTCTTCACCACAAGAATTTGTCAGTTGGGTCCCCTAATCTCCAATCACTCTTTAAAAGGAGGAGTATATAAGGTATTTTCTCCCTCCTTTTTGCACGCCTTTGTGGTGTAACGGTTAGCACACTCGGTATGTATTTGAGAGGTCCAGGTTCGAGCCTCAGCGAAGGCATTGCTCATTTTTCATGTACTCCTGCTTCAAAGTAGCCTGATGTCCCTTCAAATTCACTGCCGAAGCATGTTCAGTGTCTCTATGGTTATTTGCTTAGTTTGATGCAGAATTCTATGTTGTTCCTTCTTTCCATCCATGATGTAATTGCGCAACACCTAGTGCAATCTTAGGACCATATTACACATGCATATGTTTCACATGAACAACTGTTTTGGAAATTTTTATGCTTGGTTTACTATTGAAAGAATGATGCGCGAGTTTTTCCTTCCTTTCTAAAAAAATTGGAAGTTGTTCGTTTTCAACCAATCAGCTATCAGTTTGTTTGTAAGTGAGAACCACTTTCCTCTGTGTTAACCCTAAAACGATCAGTGGCGGTTGGCTGTTGTGACAAAGCAGAAAAATTGTTTCAAACAGTTGTTCCTCCAAAACAAACGGGTGTGATTATTCTTAAACTTATTCTAATATTTTTTGGCATATTGTTGTTAATCTGCGAACTTTTTGATCCAGCCATGTCAATTACTTACTGGCCTGAATATTTCTAACATATGAAAATTAATTTGCATCATCACAATTCATTGCAGATAAATGATTTTAATTCCACTCAAGTAGATGTTAAGAAAGAGACTCTTTCCGTTGAAGAAGTTGCGTATGGCTTCATAAAAGTTGCCAATGAAGCTATGTGCCGGCCCATTCGTGCCTTAACCCAGGGGAAAGGATTTGACACTTCTCAGCATATTTTAGCCTGCTTTGGAGGAGCGGGAAGTCAGCATGCTTGTGCGATAGCTAAAATTCTAGGAATATCCTCTATTTTTATCCACAAGTAAGGGCACTATAATTTATATCTAGATACGTATATGTTTTTGGAAAAGGTAAATTAGTATGAAAAATATATTATGTTGGTTATTTGAAAATTTTTTTCTTGTGTAATATTAACTGATAATTTTAATTTAACATTTTTCAAAGCATTTGGGCTATTTTCATTTTTTGCCATTTCTTTACATTCAAGTGGAACTAGGTTATCTTGGGGGGGGGGGAGTTAAAGAAATATCAGAGGTGAAGATGCTAAATAAATATGATAAAATGATAAAAAAATATGAGAATTTTTTTGGTTGGATTTTCTTTTTTTAGTTGGTCACATCAGTCAACTAATAGATAAAAAGGGCTTGCTTTGAACATAATTAAAATTTGCAAAAAGCTTTGTTATGGGTAATTTCTTGTTTATTGATGTTCACATTTATTTAATAATGGCCTGTTCATGTTTTTTATTTATTGATTTTGGCCCACCAGTGGCCGAGCGGTAAAGTCGCTGAACACTGGTAGTTCGGTCCGAGGTTCGAATCCCACGAACGGGCTGGCTGCATGGGTGTTTTCGTGGTTTTCCCCATGTGTAACATGTATACGAGCCAGTTTCCCTTAGAAAGTCCTCCACGAAGGCATCCCTCCCCTTAGGCAGATAGCCCTAATGTGCTTTGCCATAATTAAAATACACCAAATTTATTGATTTTAGACATCACAATTTTTTATACGTCTGTTTTTATGAAATTAAACTGAAAAATAAATTTCTGACATGCCATTTCTAAATGAATTAGTATTAACATAGTTTGTCTCTAATGGAGTATGATCAACTCTAGATTAACCAAGGCAAAATAATAAAAAAATTAATTGTAAAATGATAAAAAGTTACTATAAAAATATCAGTGTAAAACAAAATAGTCTAGGGAAAAATACAAATAGGAAAATACCAAGGCCGACAGCAGTGATCATATGTGATGTTTTGGGAGCTGTTTTTATTTAGTGTAGTAGGTAATTTAATTGTGTGTAACTTAAGAAGTGTAAACTTTGTAAGAAAAAACAAAAAATTCTACCTAACTATTTTATGCAGGTTTGAACTCGGTGGTGTGGTATTTGAAGTTCTCTCTGAAACATTATTTTTTTAATTCCATTTATAATTTTTTTTTTCATTTCTCATAATGATCTCTTTCAATATTTACTGTACATTCTTTTTGTTTTCAATACAGACTTAATTTACATAACCAACTGATTATTGAAATTAAACTGCTTGAGATTTCAGGCAAATGATTAATACTATTTTTTTGCTAGGTATAATGTGGGTTACTCATCTTCTTACTAGTGCCCAGTGAACTAATGTACTCTCTACCAGTGAACCAGTGATACTTTTAATCTACTAGTTTAATCTACCATGCTTTTGGATTATCTGATTGACATCAGTTAAACCAAGTACCAAAAGCTAAAACAAGCTTTAATAATTGATAATCAGATAAATAAATATTTTATTTAAGTACCATTGGCACTGCCATTTATGAACAAAAAGCTAATAGAAATATTTATTAAGAACATCTTTTTTTTTTTTTTTTTTTTTTTTTAATAAAACATACAATTATAAAGCCATACAGATTCTGTATTAATTATATCTTTAACAATAAATATTTGCCATTTGCCTTGTAACGAACATAAAAGAAATCTTATGTATACAAGGCTGGACTTTACTGTATCTGTGTGGAAACTTCTGTTTTAAATTATTTTTATGCTAGTGTGTTCATAATGGACATTTTGTACTTATGTTTTCTGAAAACATTTACCAGTTTTTAGAGGCTATTATTCCTCACAATAAAAATATTACCTTTAATATTCAGTAGTTTATTATATTTTCAATTTGATATAAATAGTATTTTTTTAATATGTTAAATTTAAATAATATAGTCTCGATTATTTATTTATCTCCTCTTGAAGGTATGCAGGTATTCTTTCAGCTTTTGGTATGGCATTAGCTGATGTAGTTTCTGAAGTTCAAGAATCCTGTGCAAAAATATATTCTCCAGGTATATTTAAAATTTTTAAAAATATTTTATGTATGTTAACTAAGTTTCATACCATTTATAACTTTTTGCTAGTTTTAAATTTTTGTTGTAAGTTATATAAATATGATAAAATCAAACCCTGCTATTTGCAGATATAATCAATGAACCTTTTCGTCCTGTTCAATTTTGTGTAACCTTAATGTTATTTTACTCTGGTATAGTGAACCTACAAAAGTATAAGAGACTGTATAGATAATTTGAACTGAAATTTTTTTTAATAAAATTTCTGCAAGTTTTAATGAAAAAATTGCTAATCTTTAAAATCATTCCTGTTTAACCCATTAACCGCCAAAACTACAAGGATGTTTCTTTTCTCATGAAAATAATAACAAATATTAAATTAAGCATTTATAACATAAATTTACATTGAAAATAAAAAAAAATGCTCTTACCTGTGGAAAAAGTGAGTGTTGCATTTGCGCAACGTCAGCGGAATAAGACTACGGATGTTTAGTGAGTAGGATTGTACTCGTGTGATGTTTCTTTTGAGTGGAGTGCAGGATTACTTTTTAGCTGTATAGCGTTTTATAAATCTACAAATCACTTTACTTGTAATTAATTTAATATTAAAATATACATTGTATTTCTTTTACAAATACAGATTATTTCATTTGAAAGATTCAAGCATGAAAAGCTTGATTACGATCATCATGTAAAGCTACATTACATACTTTGCATCTATAAACAGTCTGGCTATGGTACTCTTTACAACAAAGTATTTTATTATCAATGGACTTTATGATAAAATGTCTACCATCTCCATGCAATAGTTTTTGAATGCTGAATTTACTAGGTTTTCCTGTTGCTGATCTATTTCTGGCTAATTCTACACTCTCAATAGGAGTTTGCAAAAGAAATAATGCATTCTCATGTCTGGAATCTAAAAGAGACTTTATTTCCAGTAGTAAAAAGTGGTGATATTTAGTAAGTTCCTCTGTTCTAAGCAAAGGGAAAAGATAAGACAAACAAATGCTTTGCAAGACAGGTGTGAACCCAATTTTAGGGGAACGATGATACAATCAGCTTGCTTTGTGATACCATATATTGTTAGTGATATTGAACCAAGGAACATGAATGGGTTCTTTTATTCCATTTAAATTCTTTGACTGAGCCATCAGGCAGTTGTATTCAAGGGTGATGCTGCATTCAAGGAAATTTTGAAATTTTCATTATTCAGGGAAAAAAGAAGTACTGAATCATATCAGCTTGGAGTTAAAGATTGATTTGTCTTTCAGAAAATGAAAATTATATCTACACTGGTGTGCAAAAATTAAGGACGAGATGGTTTTTTCAATATAACTTTGTACAAAAGCTTTCCAGATCAACACATTTAATACCGTAAGATCCCCAATACGTAAGGACATGAGTAATGTAAGCAACACTTACTAAAAGAGAAATCAGAGGGATAAAAAGAAGCTTTATTGAAAAAGTAGCATGGAGCGCAATGCGACTGAAGGCTGAAACATCCCTGTGATGGGTGTCCAGCAAAAAACATCCGGTCTTTAATAGGGGATATGATCTCCCCTGACTGCTAGGCAGGTTTCACAGCGTCTGCCCATGCTGAGAATGAGGGTGTCAGTGAGTTGTTCTGGCATTGCTGCCCATTCTTCTTGCAGTGACAATCGAAGCTCCGGAATCGTTACTGGTGGTAAGGTACGAGCTGCCAAGCGTCTGCCTAGAAAATCCCATACATGCTCGATGGGATTGAGATCCGGGAGATCGTGCCGGCCAATCCATATGTTCAATATCCTCACTCTCTAAGAGCTGTTCGGCAGCTACTGTGCGATGACATGGTGCATTGTCGTCCATGAAAAGGAACTACGGACCCATAGCGCCTCTAAAAAGACGCACGTATGGAAGAAGAATCTCGTTACAATAACGGGTCCCGTTGACTGAACCTGCGTCGAAGATGTGAAGGTCTGTACGACTACCAAGCATGATGCCTCCCCAAACGAGAACACCGCCACCTCCATACCTGTCCCTTTCAATGATATTCGAGGGATGATTGCGGCTTCCCCGCTCTCTCCAGATGAGTATGCGATGAGAATCGCTACTCAGACTGAATCTGCTCTCATCTGTAAAGAGTACTCGTCCCCATTCATTGTCTCTCCAATTCCGGTGTTCCCGGCACCACAGAGAACGCCTTCTCCGATGGGCAGGCGTTAGAGGTACACACCGTACAGGGCGTCGTGCAAACAGACCACCACCGTGCAGTCCTTTTCTGGCCACGGTAAAACAACGATATCGGGTCGTCCAGTCGCCTGTTCGTGTGTCTAGCGATTTCTCCCGCTGTCTGCCGCCTGTTTCTTCTGGCCTGTAAGGCAATATACCGGTCATCTGCGGGTGTGGTTCCTCGTGGACGACCACTACTGAACCCCCGGATAGTTGTTCCTGTAGTTTGAAATTGTCTCCAAAGTTGTGAAACAATGCTGTAAGCAATTCCGAACTCTGCAGCCACACTTGTCACACTGTGGCCTTCCTCCAACTTCCCAATGATTCAACCTCGGGTAAAAGCATCCAGATGGCGTCTAACAGATTGATTATTCGCCATTTCTCGCTGAGGCAGCAACTCTGTGATTTTAAATGCTATACGGCATGGAATCTCTTTGCCAGAAATACTGATCTTACACCATCAACATGCTTTATACTACTCAGACACTCCCCCATTACGTCTACCTGCATATCTGCGCATGTGCTACCGTACATCACCTTACTTAATCTCCTGATTGGTCTTTCTGTCCGCTGTGCCTCTTCTGTCAGCTGATATGCTAATTCTTCAACTTCGTCCTTAATTTTTGCACACCAGTGTATATATATATATTTTTTTTTTAGTCCAGCCCAGAAGGACTATTAATTTCATTTTGGCATTTTGCTTTGAAAACTTTAAAAGGCTTTATCACTTTTCAAATTGTTGCCACCAAATATTATCGTCCTAAATTATATTTAAAGAAATTACATAATGAAGAATCTGCATAAATGTATGCATGTTTCTCACATTGTGATAAAACAACGGCACTTAGAGCCATCAAATTTGAATAACATAATCCTCCAGATGAATATGGGCATCTGGAAGACCCTGTTTGGAATTTTTTATCTATTTTATATTTTGTAAAACTTTAATGAGTTTTTAATTAACAAACTCGATGATTTCAAAGCGAGCAATGGTAACACTGTACCGGGGGCGGGGATTATCTCCAGCGCACGAGATCGGAAATTCTAAAGATATGCTCAATTTAAAATTATTTTGCAATATTGCCATCGAATTGAATATTATGGTTTAAGTGCGATGATATTTAATAAATAAAGGTAACATTAAAAAAAAAAAAAAAAAAAAAAAAAACTTTGGCGTAAATAAAATCTGAAAACTGTCAGATTTATTTATTTATTTAGTATTTGTTACTAGTGTTTTTATACTGCTGTGAATAAAATAATTTTTTTGTAGTTACAAATGGGTAATTTCAGCAGGAGTCAAAATTACATTTATGCTGAGTAACTTAGCAAGTAAAATTATTAATGTTTAGTGAAACTAGGAAAGCAACTAACAAATTTAACAACTGAGCAGAATAATAATTATAATTACATCTTAATATGATTTTTTAAACATTAGATTTATTATTCACTTTTTTGGTAGATGCAACAAATAAAATCTTTTTTTTTAGATGATAATTCTTTCATCTTTTATAAAAGTTTTTTGAAATAATCAGTTTTCTTTATTGGACTTATAGTGAACTACTGGTTATAGCAAATCGAGCATCCAATCCTTTGAAAGTTCATTATAGCAGGGTTTGACTGTACATGAATATGTGTTCAACTGCTGTAAAAATCCATCTTTTTCTACATTGAAACGCTATTAGTATTTTAAATAATTTTTGCATATTTTTATTTTTACACTCTTGATGATCAGATTTGTGCAACTTCTTGTAATTTTTTATATGTCCAGCTATTGCTAACTCTTGCATTCATTATTTTTTGTTTTGCATGATATAAGCAGTTGTTGAAAAACATGCCATATTTACTTGCATATTCCTCACAGCTTTTATAGCATAATACTTCTTAAGTATTTACATGATGTATTCACATTATTTTCTTCTTCCTTAAGGTGTTCATAAAGCAAGCTTCCTTAAATTTTAAAATGGATTTGTCCACATAGTGTTTATTTGCATCTTATTAACTGATTTGCTTGGGAATTTTGGGTGCATTGACTCTGATTGGTGAAGTAATAATAGTAAACTGTTTCAAAAAAAGGGGAAGGGAGATATCTGATATTTTTGTTGGTTCTGCACATGATAACACAAACTGAATGGTGATGAAAATGATTGCAGCCATGAAGTTGGCAATGACATGTTAAGCTGTAACACATAATACAAATTGCAGTTCTAACAATATTAAGTAAATTCAGGCTTGGGGGAGTAACAATGAACAACAGATTCAAGATACAGGGAAGTAGAAATGAGGATATCTTATTAGATGTTGTGATGTTTATATTACTATGTGTTCTTATGGGAATGTAGTTCCTTTTAAACAAATGATACTGCAATCTGTAGTTCATCCATGAATATATTCCATTTTTTACTTTTTTATTCTAACTGCATTCTTCGAAATTCAGTTATTCACATAATTTCCCTTCCTGATTTTCACGGGATTAAATTAGTATAAAAGGGGGAATACAAAAGTAAATATGTTATTTGCATTTTTATATTGTAGCTGTCTTAAAAAGAAACTAAAATGAGTTCTTTTCAGCCTTTGTGAAAAACAGACAGTTAATAAAACACTAAACACAATTGAAGGGCTTGCAGCAAGAAGGGGTCAGCTCCACTTTGGTAGATTTTTTTTTTTTTTTGTTCATGTTATTATTATTATTATTATTATTATTATTATTATTATTATTAAAAAACAATCTTTGCATTGGTGTAGCTGTAAAAAATCATTTTACGTCATTTTTAATGAGGACAAATGTTTAGAACATTGGTTCTCAACCTTTAGACTAACACATACCATATAAAGAAAAATTGAAAAACTCTAGTACCACCATTACACTTCACAATGATTATTTTTTCAATTTCTCAATAAAAATATTTAAAAAAAAAATATTTTGCCATTTGCAGAAACTATTAGCTATTTGCATTAAATATTCACTCGTAAAAAATGTTATATTAAAATTTGGTTGCCATTTTAAGTATCAAAATTTAATTAAAGTTTTATAAGATTTTTTTCCAGTTTTATTGATTGATTGGTCTTGTAAAAAATTCTTAGTGTACAGTGCACACACAAAAAAAGGAGGACAGTTCTATATCTCCCGTTCTACTGCCCCGATTGACGAAATTCAACTTGCGTTTTTCATGTCTTGAAAACGGGACTTAGATATATAGTATTAGATTTATATATAGCATTATTTTAATATGGGTATTTTGACACAAAATCTGACTTTTTCTGAAATGACATTCCAATTTTTCCTTATTATTTAATTCCTAATTATTTCGATTATACGACTCAAATGATGCCAAATTTACAAGTTTTGTGAAAAATTGCACAAGAAGTTTTTTTAAAAATTAGCTCTCAAAATTTTATCACCTTAGTGTTAATTGAATTGGATGTGCAGAGTGTTTATAAAGTCCCGGACCCATTTTGATGTTTAATAACTCATAAAATAATGAAGATATAAACAAAGTTATGGCATTTATTGATGTAATAACTTATATATTTTCCTTTTCAGGTTTGAATATCTTTACTTTTGTAAATATCGTCTGCGTGTGTGGTTAATTTCAGATAATTTCATTTTCCAGTCTAAATATCTGTACTTTTCTAAATATCATCTGCTTATTAATTGCATTTTTCTCTCTTTTGTTTTTGGCAACTTTTGCAATAATGTGTGCATATGGGAATCTGAAAACCCCCATGTATACTGTGAGGTACAAAGGGATTCCCCAAAGGTTAATGTGTCGTGTGGATTAATGTATGACCGAGTCATTGGGCCTTTCTTTTTTACAGAAAAGATGGTCTCATCAGTCGTATACTTAGGCATGTTGGAAAAATTCGTATTTCCACAATTAGAAGAGCTTCAGCTACATGTCTTTTTGCAACAAGATGGTGCACTACCTCATTGGGGTACCATTGTTCATAATTCTTTGAATGACCATTTTACAGGAGGATGGATTGAGCGAGGAGGTCCAATTCCTTGGCCACCCAGATCACCTGCTATAACATCGCTGGACTTTTTCCTTTGGGGATTTGTAAAGGACAATGTTTACAGGAGGAGAATGTCGAACATTGATGACCTAAAAGCCAGAATTACAACCTCAATAGCCTCTGTGGATGCCGACATGCTTGCCGGTACCTAGCGTGAAATTGAATACCTACTTGATATTCTCCGTGCGAAGGGGGCACACGTGGAAGTTCATTGACAAGGGTCATGAAACTTTTTGAGTCTATTTAACCATTTAATTTATTAATTTTAATCTATCTTTATTATTTGAGTTATTAAACATCAAACTGGGTCCAGGACTTTATAAACACCCTGTATATTTATGAATATCTTTTTTTAATTAAACTTACTTGATTCCTTCTTTAAAATTCGAAATTTAGGCTTAATCCAAATACAATTCGCACATTCATTTTTTATGATTTATTTTTAAAATTTGTATTTTAAAATATTTTTTATAAATTTTTCAAAACAATTTTTGTATTATAACCTATAAAATCTTTAACACTTTCTTAAAGTAGATGTATTTCTAGGCACACCTGCAAAAAATTAGAGGTTTTTATTCAAAATTTTCTAAGATATACTTGAAATTACATATTGACACCTTTTGAAATTTGGCATCTTTTTTTTTTTTTTTTTGAGTGATAATAATGCTAAATGTGGTTTACGCACTTTGTTAAAATTGTTTGAAAGTATGAAAGATGACTTTTTTCCACTCGTTTGCAATGCAAAGCAGAAAAGGAAAATTGGGTTTCTATAAATTAAGAAGTTTGCCAAGTAAATTATTCTTGGCACTAACTGAAAAAAAATACAGCAAGATAAATTTTTTAATTTCTCCGTAAATTTCATGCAAAATTAATATTTAGGCATAATTTGAGTCGCAGAATTGAAGTATGGAAAAAAATTGGCATGTCATTTCAGAAATAGTCCAATTTTGTGTCAAAATGCCTATGTTAGAACAATATATAAATCTTATATATATCCTAAGTTGCGCTTTCGAGACATGGAAAACATGATTTGAATTTCGTCAATCGACCCTGTAGAATGTCAGATATAGAACTGTCCCATTTTTCGTTTTGCCCACTGTACCATTATTTTGATAATGGCTGTTGTCTTTCATGTATTAGTTTGTCAAAAAATTAATTAACAATTAGTTAATGACCTTTGAGTAGGGGTGCGGATAATCAGAAAATGTCATATTGAATGATTTTTTTGCAACCCCGTTTTTTAATTTTTATTTTTTATAACTAAATTGATAATGTAAACTGGTTTGAAATATATTTGAGTCATTTGTCTGTAGAAAAAACATGAAATTTTCTTAATAATGAGATGATTTTAATAATTTTAAGAAAATAAGTGATTGTTTTCCTTTTTTGTGCAGAAAATTTTGAGTACTTAGATGAAAGGATTAAGAATTTGACATGCAAATGCCAGGAAAATTTACAAAAGCAAGGGTTTCAAGAGTAGGTCCTTCTTTCTTTATTTACATGTAATCTGGTTTCTGTCTGTTTTCTAAAAGCATGTGAAAATAAGTAAATTTGACTTAATTGCAGAAGTTATGCTTTAAATGGACTCAAAATTTCATCTGATGGCAAGTATTTTGATTACATATTCTGACTAAAAAATTGTAGTAAATGAGTATAGCTTTGAGTATAACAGTAGTAATTTTTGCTCTTCCCTCTTTTTGGGGGGGGGGATGCCAACTAGTAAAATTTAATGAAAGATGTGACCACCGTGCACCTTCATATAAGCTTTGTAGATACATTCAACTCCTTCATTAAATAATCAAATCTGTCAGAGGAAAAACTTCTTGTTTCTTTAATAGAGCAATTCTCAGCTCTTTGAGAGAAGTACCTCTACACACTGTGTATTTTATATGTGTTGGGTACGTGCTCAGTGATGATTACAAGATGTACACAAACATCGTTTATTCTACATTACTCATCTACTATATTATATTACAGTTATAGTTACAGATAATAATAGATACAGTTACAGTTACATATATAACATCTCCCTTTTTTATAAAAAATAATAATAGTAGTAAAATTAAACATATTCTTTTAAATAATAAGGTTTCTTAACAGTCCTACCAGATCGAGTGACGTAGTTATGTCCATTTGAAAAATTTGATGATACTATACCTCTTTCACTATTTGGTGACACAACACTTCTGTTAGATTTTGAAGGACTTACAGGCACATCTAAATTTGTAGTGCTCCTACTATTTTCATGTATCTCGGGTTCATCTATAACTTCATTCTCATAGTTGTTTTGTATTGCAAACTCTTCCTGATTAGTTCCTTTAAGAAGGTCTCTTCTGTTCCTTTCTACAATTCTTCCATCTGTTCTTATAATCCTATATGAACGTGGTCTTTCTGCTTCTTCTATAATTTTCCCTCTTTCATTTAGTTTTCCCCTTTCTCATTTATGTAAACATTATCTCATATTTTCAGTGGTTTTAACGGTCTTGCATTCCTATCATAATAACTTTTTTTGTAAGGTTTGTCTCTTCAGTAAATGTTGTTTATGGTCTTCATATCGTTTAGCTTGGACAAATTCTCTTTTATAGGCATCAATCCATTTACTTTTCTTCCAAACATCAATTCTGAAGGTGACTTAATTTCATCTGAAATAGGAGAGTTACGATATTCCAGTAAAACTAAATATGGATCCTTGTTGTGTCAACTACAGCTTTTTCTAACATTCGCTTGACAGTTTGAATATGTCTTTCAACCATTCCATTAGACTGTGGGGTATTTTGGACTTGAAGTTCTGGTTTCAAAATTCCATCTTCTTGCAAAATCTTTATATTTCCTGCAATTATATTGTGGACCATTATCCGAATATATATACTATTTTTGGAATACCATGTCTTGCAAAAATTGATTTCAATTGCTTTAATCACTGCTACACTTGACAAATCTTCCAAATGTCCAATTTCAACATATTTGCTAAAATAATCTATAACTATTAGATAATCCCTTCCTTGAAAGTAAAAGAGGTCTGTTCCCAATACTTCCCATGGACCATTAGGTATTTCTTTAGATATCATTGGTTCTTTAGTATTAGCTTTTTGTAAACTTAAACATGTTTGACAATTCAGTACCAAATCTTCAATTTCTTTGGACATTCCTGGCCAATATAATATTTCTCTTGCTTTGATCTTGCATTTTACTACTCCTAAATGACCATAATGAATTCTGCTTAACATATCTTTTCGTAAACTTCTTGGTACAACAACACAGGAATTTTTAAATATTAATCCATTTGCTTCTGATAGTTCTCTGAAGTTAAAAATATGGTTTTGCCAGTTCTGGAACCATACATTTTTCATCTGGCCATCCAGTTTTAATTAATTTTCTTAAAACTTGTAGTTCTTCATCTTTTTCTGTTTCCAGTTGAAAAACTTCCATTTTACCATTAGACATTGGTATACATTCTACAACTAATCCAACATGAGCTTCTATTTCTCCTTCAAAGAAATCAGATCCTTTATCAGTGAATGATCTTGATAATGCATCCGCTATAAAAAGTTCTTTTCCTGGTTTATATTTTATCTCAAACTGATATGGCTGTAATCTTATACGCATTCTTTGTAGTCTTACAGGGCATTTATTTAATGGCTTTTTAAAAATTGATTCCAGTGGTTTATGATCACTTTCCACAGTAATATTTTTTCCAAATATATACTGGTGAAATGAAATTCTCACACGCAAATACAATAGCTAAAGTTTCCTTTTCAATTTGAGCATAATTCTTCTGTGTATCTGTTAATGCCTTAGATGCATATGCCACTGGTAAATTATTCTGCAGTAAGACTGCTCCTAGTCCTTCTTGAGATGCATCTACAGATAAAACTACTGGCATGTTTATATCATAATACTTGGTTTATTTACCAAGACATCTTTTAGTCTTCTAAATGCTTTTTCATGTGTTGCATTCCAGTTCCAGATAACTTGTTTTTTCAACAAATCTCTTAAACATGATGTCAATTCTGATACATTAGGTATAAATTTAGAAACATATGTAATCATTCCTAGGAAAGTTTCCAATTCTTTTACATTTTTTGGTGGTTTTTATATCTAGAATAGCCTTAATTTTGTCTTCATCTGGTTTTAAACCATCTTTAGAAAATATATGTCCCATATATTTCACTTCATTCAGCCCAAATTTACATTTATTTAAATTAAATTTAACATTCTTTTCTCTGGCTCTGTCCAACAACTTCTTTAATCTTGAATCATGTTCTTTTTTTATCTTTACCCCAAACTAATAAGTCATCTATATATATTTGAACTCCTTCTAAATCACTAAAAATTTCAGAAAAACTTCTGTGGAAAACTTCTGGTGATGAACTCAGTCCATATGGCAACCTCAAAAAACAATATCTACCAAACGGAGTGTTAAATGTAGTAAATTCACAACTTGAATCTGACAGTTTAATTTGCCAAAATGCTTTGTTTGCATCTAAAATACTAAAGACCTTTGCATTTGTCATTTGAGATGAAATTTCTTCAAAGGTTGGTATGTGATAATGTTCTCTCAGTATATTTTGGTTAAGGTGCTGAGGATCTAAACACACTCTTAAATTTCCATCCTTTTTCCTTACTACCACTAATGAATTCACGAATTCTGTTGGTTGGTTAACTTTCTTTATAATACCATCTTTTTCCATTCTTGCTAATTCCTTTTTTAATGGATTTAATAAGCTAAGTGGAATTTTCCTACAGGGTTCTATTTTACCAACAGCTCCTGGTTTTAATTTAATATGATATGTATATCCAGTTAAATTCCCAGTTCCTTTAAACAAATCTTGATATCCTTTTAAAAGTTCTGGTAACTTTCATTAGAATCAGGATTTACTGTACAAATCCTTTGTATTAGGTTTAATTTTTGCAATGTAGGTAAACCTAAAATAGCTGGAACAGTTTTATCACATGCTACGACTTGAAATTCTATTTCATCCTTGTCCCCTTTCGATGTTTCACACATAATAATTTACATTTTCCAACTACATCAATTGTAGTACCATTGTAATTATTTAAAGTGACTTTTGATTTAGTCAAACATTTCTCTCTTAAATTTAATTGTTTAAATTTAGGCAATGGTAGCACATTACACTGAGCTCCAGTATCCAACTTAACAAATAAATATTTAGATATGTTTACTTTTAGTTTTTCAAACCATTCGGTTTTATTTTTTAGAAAATGGATTTATATCTTCTACTGACCCTAAAATATATTCATTACCATTATTATGTAACTCATGCTCTAAATTATTCTGTACAACATTAACATTTTTATAAGTGCACATTTTAGAAAAGTGATTTTTCTTTTTACAGTACAAGCAAATCTTATTATAAGCAGGACAGTTGTATAACTTATGAAAAGTTCCACATTTTCTACATGGTTTTGGATTATTGTACTTATTTCCTTGATAGTTTGAAGAAGATTTAGTACTTTGTTGCTTTTGTTTTTACATGATAGTCTTTCTTACAAGGCTGACTTTTTTCCTCTGAAGGTCGAAATTTATTACGTTTGATAGCTTCTATTTTATTTTCTTCAGTTAAAGTTTTCAGCTGAAGTTCTGCTAATTCAGAAGCTTTACACATTTTAATACATTTCTCCAATGTTAACTGATCTTCCCTTAATAATCTATCTTTGAGATTTTTATTTAGAATTCCACTTACTATTCTATCCCTTATTAAACTATCTTTTAATTCTCCAAATCCACAGTTGCTACTTAATTTTTTTTAAATCGGTTAAAAAATCATCAAACGATTCACCTACATGTTGTGTTCGACAGAAAAATATATGTCTATCAACACTTTCGTTTGCTTTCGGTATGCAAAAATTTTCGAAAGCTTCAATTACTTTGTCAACATCCTTCTTATCTTCTTCACTTAAATTAAAAGTATTAAATTTTTCAAGTGCTTCTTCACCAATTATATGCAATAAAATAGCTACTTTAATTTCAGGTGATTTAGTAATACCACCAGACGCTAACATATAAATTTGGAATTTTTGTTTCCATTTCTTCCAATTTCGCTTTTCGCTTAAATTTCCTTCGAAACTTAGATTACTTGGTGGCTTTAATCCATCCATATTTAATTTAGGACTTTAAATAGTTTATATATACGTATTTTTAGCCACTGCCAATAAAAATAAACAACTCACTTACCAGCCATATAAGTTTCGATTTCACAGTAAACAACTTCCCATGATGTTTTTGTTTAGAACATCTTTACGGCTGCATGGTTCTTCAAAAAAAAATTTTCTTTTTTATCAACGACCAGGTGCGCCATGTGTTGTATTTTATATGTGTTGGGTACGTGCTCAGTGATGATTACAAGATGTACACAAACATTGTATTTTATATGTGTTGGGTAGTGCTCAGTGATGATTACAAGATGTACACAAACATCGTTTATTCTACATTACTCATCTACTATATTATATTA